CGACTGAAACCAAATACCAGTGTAACTGTATTTGGCTATTTTGAGTTAACGACAAATCTGAATATAAGATACAGTTTAGCAGATTCTTAAATGTGAACGTTGGAGCACAGTTATGGTGGCTATGCTGGTTAAATTTTGCAATCGTTGAAGACTTTTCCACGTTTACCAACTTTAAATCCAGGAAAACAGTACTCCTTGATAAAGGCATTTTGCTCTACGTATTTTCCTTTAAAGGCTCCTGCACAACCGGCATGCTTTGCGACTTTATTTTCAAAACCGGCCTAATGTAGTGCTGTATAAAAATACAAAACACAATTAATTTCTCAAGACAGCTGCCGCTAAGCATGCCGGTTGCGCAAGAGCCATTAATGACTATACACGATCTGTGATTGTGTCAATATCCTCGTGGTGAGATATCCTTAGAACGTAAGATTCAAATTCAGTTTTCATTCGGTGCATGCAAGAGAGTTACAATCACATCGTTTCATTTGTGTTGCATTGCTGTCTGTGTTGAGGTTGGTTGGGAAGTGACTAAACAGATGATTCCAACTGGAAACTCATGAAAGGACACGAGAATACCTTAAATATCTTCGAGAAAGCACAAAATTCGTTTTCCTAGTTAACTAAGAGTGATAGATTTGTCGAGAGAGTTAACCAGACTGTTGAATGTGGCTTTGTACAGGTAAATTCAGATGACTTGGAAAACACCGAATATATTCATCATTTCATGCTGCTTATGAATAAAAATTTCACTTTGTCTGGTTTTAACCTTTTAACAACAGTATCAAACTTAGTTAAGTCTTTATAGCCTACGCCCAACTTAATTTGCATATTTACAAGGATTACAGTTTCCGTAAGCAGCTTATTAAGACCATGCATCATTTATAAAGCTTAAAATTCAATATAACAAATTCTGTTTAACTATAAGAGTTGCCTGCATAGTATCAGAAAGGGGGCTAAAACTACTGTAAATTTGTTTTTACTCGATACGATTCCGTGACAATATTTGAAACATTCAGAAGCAAAGTCGTGAAAGACAGCTCACAACAGAAGATTTCATAACAATTGTAGTTTAACCTAAGATGATTTCTTGTCTGTCCATATACGACATATGAAATTTCTTCGTTTTCAAAGAAAGCATGTTTTTTTCACTTTAGGTCAAGAACTTTTGGGAGCAGCGTCATCTAGACATCTAGTCTAGACTAAGTCTGTGTATTGGATTTCCAAAACAAGCATTTTTCCTGGTATTCTCAAAGATGTAACTTTGAAAAATTTACTAGCGAACAGTTGAATTACTAAGCACTAACTTGTGCACACTGGACTCATAGCTCAAGAACCTGAACCCTGAGACATAAAAAAATACAAGTACCCCCTAACTTTTGAAAATGCTCCCTTTTTTAGAAGCACTACCGTTAGAATAATTTGAAAAATGCCTCTTGTGCCTCTCCAACATTGAATTGGTTCTGGCATTGAGGGCACGCATCCAGCATCTGTATATCAGCATTTTTTCTAGGGAGAGCTCAAACTTTTGATAACCATTACGTACCATACTGCTACAGAAAACCAAGCAAACTATATAAGCAAGCGAAGCTTAGAAGAAAAAATAACTGCCACCCCCCCTCCCCCCCCACCCCTCCCAAATAATTTCCCTTCTTTTTGGCAATAGCGGAGATCGCTAGAAGAAAACAACAGAGTGTAAAACGGATGGAATATTAAAGGCTGATGATTTTGGGAAACTTTTGAAATTCCTAGATTAACCCGCTCCTCCGCCCATATATATATTTGTGCCAAAAGTCCTGCCTTCTTTGACACTACTTTCTGACTGGAAATGTAACTCCAGTTTATGTGCGAAATATCAGAAAAATCAGATACTCGTAATGGTCATCCAGGCAGACTTTGATTAACAAAGAATTTAGTCTCTAGAAATGTTTTTCATATGACACTGCAGAAATAAAAATAATTAGCTTCCGGCTGTTCTGGTAATCTTTTTTCTGAAAATCGACCAAAAACTTTGAATATATACAGAAAGAAGGCCGGTCGATAACCCCAAACTTCGTGCGGATTATTTTGTCAATCAATCTGAAATCAAGAAAAATTCCTCGACTAAAAAGCGAATCGCAAAACATTATTGATGCCAAAAAAACTTTTGACATTCAAAAAGTGGTTTGCAATCTTGAAGAAGTATAATCGGACAGCGTGCGGATTTCCAGGTATTGAAGAAGTGGGTGGTGGGAGGTCTTGTGAGTGGTTTCGACACTAAATAGGATAGGTGGAGGATTCGAGGTGGATTTTTGGAGGATTTGTCGAGGATTTGTCGAGGATTTGTCGAGGATTTCATAGAGAATTCGTGGAGGATTTGTGGAGAATTTCATAGAGGATTCGTGGAGGTTTTATGGACGATTCATGGAGAAGAGGGGGTCTTAAAGGGGGAGGACATTTTCTGCTGAGTTGAGAAGAAGGATAGAAATTTCCAAGCGATACTCTTGGCAGGTAAAGGGGTGACTTTCGTTATTGCAATATTGATCGAATATGTGGTCAGTGGGGCGTCGTTGTTCTTTAAGTGACGTATGGACTTATTTCGTGACAAGAAGTATTTAAACTTTAATGTATCTTTTTACAGCCCTTTCCCCGGGGTCAATGTTGGGTGAGATGATTGCAGAATGAGTGGGATACACGCTGGTTCAACCAGCCCAAAATCAAAATGCTAGCCAAGACTCTTTGTTTACTTCGAAAACTTCGAAATCTAAGAAGAAGAAGGATCGTGGTTAACCTCCCAAGAAGACTCATAGAAATTGCAAATTCCTGCATCGCTTTAATACTTGATTACATAAAGTAGCCCGAAAGCCGCTTTATATTGAAATGAGAAAATGATGGTTCTGTTGATAGTTTACTCGCAAAATTCTCTGCAACGTATCATTGGACATCAAAGGCCCCTTTTTATTTAAAGTTATTTGCAAGTAAGCTAAAAGCCCAAAACTATTTTTGCCTGTCGCTATCCTTTCTTCATCAGTGTTGTATTAATCCTGTTTGCTGAGGACCAGGATTCTAATTAGGAAAGCAAAAACATTTGCGATAAACCATACATGCTCGAGAATTGACAAGGAATTGAACACAACAAGAGACTGGTTTTGTCTTAAGGATATACCCCCCTTGCCATTCGCAACATTTTGACTTTATAGATTATCCGAGGGAAAAATAACTGTTACGAGTTTTCTAAAAAACGAAATTATTTCCAGGGATTTTCAGAAAGACAATGGGATTTCCACCAAATGTGTATGAGATTTTCATGAGACGATGTTTCAATAAGCTAAACGGCATCGATAATCAGTGAATGGAAAGAGAGGGAGGGGAGTAACATAGGGCTTTCGGAGCCATTTCTAGCTATATCACCGTTTGATTGATCAGCTATCGAGGGTACCTTCTAGTTCACGTACCCCTATGGTCAGACTACTATCAAACTGTTCTATTCGAAAACGACATTATATGTACCGGGAAGTAAGAGAACTTGGCAGAAATATGGGAAAGGTTGGGGTGCATATTTGACATGAATCGGAAAATGTATCAGAAAAAAGCTTATTGACATGAGCAGAAAAAGTTCACACCATATTGCAGCTTCTAGAAATTCACTTCGCTTGAAATTCACTCCTCCTTCTTAAAATGCTCCATTTTTGCCACTGCAGAGGTGAGACAATAAGCAAAAGAGATTTCGTGATGCAAAACTTTGCTTTAACAAGATTTCTACCGCAATACCCACGTGGATAAACCATGTCGTCAAAAACGCTTAAAACTGCAAAGACATTCCCACATTCGCTGCAGAATAATACGAAATAATACTATCAAGGTCTTGACATCATTAACTTTAGGCCGAATCCCTTTCAGTGCTGGTGCATGGCAACATAAGCTGGAAATTAGAAGCAAAGCAAAGTTTGATGCATTCATCTAGTGCAAATATGGAATTTGCCAAAAATCAATTTTCGCGCTTTTTAACTTCCAGCACAAGACGGGTAATTGGATCTGTATTTTTTAAAAAAATTAAATAAATCTGATACAAATCAATAACAAGAGACATTAAACAAGTTGAAGGCATTGACCCCCTCGCCCCCTGCTCCATTTGGGGCGGGGGTTAGCAATCAACCTACAGTCTACACGCTTTTGAAGGCACTAGCAATGATTGCATTTGATCAATGAAATAAAGTATTATTGATTGGTGCTGGAAAAAGGAGGGGGAAGGGAAGAGAGGTGCACAATCGATCCTTTCATGCCTTAAAATAAACGTGCGTATAGATGGCAGGACAGGTACCACTGATATTTAACCATTAAAGATGCAGTTTATAATATATAATTTTGATTTTAAGCCGAGTTTATTTTGAGGAAATGAGATTCAAATAGACCTTAGCACCAGTCAGAAAAATTTGTTTATTTCCCTCAATTTCTTGTCTATCTAGAATTGCTTTATCAAATTTTGTTATATTGAAGTACTACCAATAGCCAATCACAAATGGCAATGATCCAGAAAAGGAAGTTTGCGATTCCAAATAAACATTCAAATCTAATAACATTTTGCCAACCTCAGGAATTCCCCATGAAGATAACGTTTCCAATTCCAATTATATATCGTTCAAAAAATGTTATTGTGCAGATAGCAGCTGTCGACGTCTCCTTTATCGATTGGCCTCAGGTCACTTTTGTTTAGTCTCGCAAGCTTTTTCGCTGTGCCTAAAAACTGTGAACAAATGTTTACCCTCTGCTTCAATAGCCCCAGCACCAAGGCAATAATGTTGTTTACAAAAAGAGCTAAAAGTAATTTTCATCTTGTTAAAAAGTATGGAATATATCAGAGAACCTGCCTACTAAAAATTTGTGGATCAGCCTCAAAAAGTATAGCCTTTATGCAACAACCTTACGTTTTATGCGTGATTTAACGATCACAAAAAAACGAGAACGCAAATTCACTGAGAAAAAGGCAAGAAAAAGATAAAATATTAGCAAAACAGTATTACCTTGAAAAGGTGGCTCTTTAGTCAAACTTCGTAACAACAGAATGCAACAACAGAATCTGAGAAGAATTATGATCGGCTTTGAGTGAATTCTCAGCGAAAACTGAAGCTAGCCATTCATCGGACGGTTACAAGAAGCTTGGCATTGTCAGCTGTCTATGAACTGTGTCAGATCATTAAAAACAGAAACGAAATAAAACAGGCTATATACCTTAATCCTATTTAAAACATGCTTTCGTTATCTTTTTTGAAAACCTTGAGAAAAAAATTCGGGCACTAAGTCTCCGGTTTAGCCTCTTGCCTCTACACAATTGTTAAGCATAAACTATTGTCTTTTTTCAAAATTCTGGGGTTAAGTTTTACCCACCATTGAGGATCTCATTATCACTGCGACTAGAAACTGCATGCATAGATGACAATGAGAACCAACTAATGATAAATAGATCATCAATGTCAAACGATATAAGTTCGCTCAAGTCATCTTCAATTACTGACTTTCAACTGAGTGTTAAAGTGGCTGGGCCTAAAAAGGGGCAATGACCGGGTAATTTCCAATAAGATACTTGACAAGTATCTTTTTTCTATCTTTTGCCCTTCAACGTTGAAATTCACAGCGTGGACCCTTGTCTCTTGAAAAGCAGACAACCTCAGCTTTCAGATGCCCGATATGGATACAAGTTTCAGGCGCAAGGCAAACATACTCTGCGTTTCTTCTATTGGAGACATAAGTAATCTTGTAAGCACTATTAATTACCCAAAGCTGATTTATTCTTGTTAACACGAGAATCTATTTAGACGGATTTGAAAGTAACTACAGGATTTCCGTTTTGAACATAGCAAATGGAATTCTTTCATGTTAAAACGCAAGGCAATCCATTTAGAAATCTCGATGAGCATTTATCTTGTCTCTTTTTCCACAAAGATGATCAAACTTCATTTGCAGCTTTACGAAATGAACTGGTTTCGGTTTGGACGACTTTGAAGAGGACAAAATGTGCAATGCCTTGCTACATAAGAAAGAATAAAATTATTGTAACCATTATCATTCACTGGGTCTGCACACAGGGTCTCTCATATGCTGCTCAATACTGACGCAAATATCAAGTCTTTAAGATTCAAAATCTACTTATCCTTAATGGATTCATAGATAAGACCAGAACACATTCTTGTGGCTTTCCATGTCGATAATTGGGCCTAGGCCCAACTTATGATGCTCAATCTTTTATCTAATGTAAAAAAGTCACATTACAACACTGCAGATCTTTGCAGGTAGTATTATAGTGACAGAAATCTGGCAGAAACTGATTCTTTTAAACACAGATATCTGTGTAGTTTATATAAACGATACGGTGACAATTCTGCAACAAACATAGATTGCTATAAAAATGGCATTGCTAATATCAAAATTATTCAAACAGCAAAGACATTTAAACCCGTAGGAGTGCAGGATAAGATTTAACATGTGACGTAACACATGACACAAGAGACGACGGAGTAGCTAAAGTGTCACCAGCAGTAAATGAGGCTGACGCCCGAGTATGCCCTATGAATGTGAATGAAAGTACGACATCTAAATTTCCATTCATAGCGGTACGGATAATCTACGCGGTCGACCCTTGATCAAACTCAGTCACGTAATCTAGCTGCTTCAGCTTCGAAAGTGAAAATACAGGTATCCCTAGAAAAAGAGGAACAACACAACCTCAAGCAAGGGACCTCATCATAGGCTTATACGACCTAGGAACGTGAGATCAGAGTAGTACTTCATTGAGTATAGAGACCATTCACAGTGCATATATCTTCTAACAGGAGTACGCGAAACAGAGGCTGTATGCACGATGCAAGTTAGAACGAATATAAAATGACAAGAACAGTTAATGACTTATGTTTTATGTGCGAGCACGTAAAACGGGTTCAAATAATAATGAATTTTTTATCTCAAAGTATTTCAAAAACACTCTTCTTAGTATAAAAAGACATAGCAGGATAACGATAAATTTTTGCTCTAGAGAAAGCAAGCGGCAGGCTTTCGTAATACATATTAAGGCTTTCAAGACGAACCATTACAATACAAAAAATATATGATTCTTGCGCTTAACGATAGAAAAGGTATTAAGGCTCAGAACTGTATCTGACCTATTTATCAGATCCCCCCCTCCCCCCCCCTAAACCTATTTATATCCACAAAACAATGTGCCCGTAACGAGAAAGGCACCAGTGAGCAAATCTAGCAGTCAATAGGGATCTGTTAAAAACTGAAAACATCATCATTGAGCATCACTGTTTTCATGGAAAACGTTATTGAAAATATCTATTACCTTGAATAATTCCGTTTATTCAAAATTCCGATAGACTTTGGAGCACCGCTTGCGGGAAACATTGCCTTGAGAATACAAGCAGGCACAAGTAGAGCTTATTCAACGGACAGTGGTGGAAAAATGTGGGGGAGAATAATTTCTTTTTCATTGAAGTACAATCTTCATTCTTTTGTGACAAGTCTTAAGTCCTAATTCGTTAGAATGATGAAACCTTAAAATATAGGCTTTTGTGCTTTTCATTAGCCGTAAGCTGTAGCCCCCATCATTATCAAACGATCCCTCCATCCTTGCCGCTGAAATCCGTCTCTGGCTTATAGAATAATTATTCAACGCAAAAACCTCTCACTGCGCGCCGTTTACGGAACACAGCCTAAAACAGCTACGTACAGGTTACTTAATTGATAGATTATAATCTTCTTTTATGAATAAAAAGCAGAAGAAATGTAAAAGACATGATTACATTAATTAAACTTTATGGAATATATTAACTAGAAACGGACTGGGGAAGCAGTTTCTGATTACGAAAATACCTTGGGCAAGCATCTATCAGCCACTGCGGGTCCACTACACTTAAATTTCTCATGTAGCACTTCGAAGTCTTAACGAGCTCCGTATAAACAACGTAGGCAGCCTTACAACGAAACAAGGCTGATGAGGGGTGGATGCTGACTGGCTGTTTTTGAACAACAGTCTGATAAGTACCGTCTCTTTGCAACTCCGCACAGCAAGTAAAGAGCCCCGCAGCTAAAGACCGTCTAAGTTTGGTGAAGTCCTTTCCACAGCTGGTCAATTGTATGTCTAGTCTTTGACAAAGTTCCCGCAGCTGGCTGCGAATATTATGAACAGTTTTCATTGCCCTTGTGTTTATGAAATGCTCCATGCACCAATCAGGGTTGCCTTTCACGTGTTTATGGGCTTTAAATATGTTAAGCAAACTCACGTGATCACCCTCTGACGAAAGAAACTTTTGTCGCACTCTGTTTACTTCATCTCTTTTATCAGATGGCGAATATGTAATGGATTCGACCGACAACACGGCAACGATTGTTAACATCTCTTCCGTGCAACCTTCTCCACGTGCAGTCAATATACATTTGGCAAACTTTGGGTCTAACGGGAAGTTGGCCATAATTTTTCCAGTTTCTGTTAACTGTTCAAAAATAATTGTATTAGTGACTTAACAGCTCTCTATAAAAGGGCTATACGCATTAATAGTTGTGTGAGGAAAGAAGGGAAGGTGAATTGTGTTGAAGGCTAATTGCTATTTGTACCAACGAATATGAAAATGTTGACTTGAAGAAAGTTTCAAGGGATTCTATTGCTTCCTTTAACAAAATGATATCATGGTGACTGGCTGTTGTAGAAGACGGACCACAGTTCAAGAAGCACCAAAATAAACACAAGCATAACTAAAAAGGGTGAAGTGACAGGCGAGTTTTTGCCCTTCAGCCAACGCATTTATTTTCCAAAAAACATTTGAAACTTTCAGGTAAATATGAACACCTTCAGGCTTTCACTGAGAAGAGAAGGCCTATTGCCTTTTTTCTAGTCAATTTCTACTTAAAAAAAGCTTTTCAGAAAATTGCCAAAATTGAACCTCAAAGATAACTGAAGACACACTAACCTTTTCAGTTTGAGCAGATTCCACTGCCCCAAGTAAAACCAGTTCTTCAATAGCATTTTGAATGGCCATTGTTGATGGTGGATCCATGAAATCAAAAGATGACAAATCAGAAATGCCCATTGCAAGTAAATTGAGAACAACACTTGATAAATTGGATCTTTTTATTTCTGGCACTGAGGATTGGGCAAGGGCTTTAAAAGAATCTTCTGTATACAGTCGATAGCAAATACCAGGGCACTCACGGCCAGCTCTACCAGCTCTTTGTCGTGCCTGAGCTTTTGATACAGGCTCTCTTATTAGCATATCCAATCCATTTTGAGGGTTGTAACCTGCATAAATAGAAAGGCATGTTTTCTAAACACAACTGGTATGAAGTTAGTACATCAATTTACCAGCCTTCATTGAAGTGGATTTTAAATCTTATAAAGACAACCAAGGATCCAGTTAAACAGAAAAATTCAATTCAATTTGCATACTAAAATTATACAAGCAGTTAAAAAAATATCAAAAACCAATTTCTTATATGTTATACACTGTTTTAAATTTTTTATACGTCTTGCAAACAGGGATGAATATATAGCAACTTCATTTTATCAATGTGCTTTCCCATGATAGTACTAGCTGTGATCCTGAAATATTTTATCTCGTTTGAAACTAAGTGGATGAAACTAATAGCTGGGATATTCCATATTAAGTGTACCAAGCTAATAATGAAGCCCTAATGTATTTTCACGATAAATTGCATGCATAGGGGCTTCATAAAGAAAGCTCACACCACAATTTTATGGTTCTAGGTCAAATTGTTTCCGTGAAATGGCAGGGGAAAAAATTTGCAAAGTTTCCAAAATTAGGGGCATCTAGAACTTTAGGGTCATTAGATTTTGACTCTGAAACTTCTGAATCAATTTTGTAGTAAACAAGGGCTATTTGGTAAAACAATTATCAAAATAAAAATTGTCCTTTGGATGTGGTCAACAATTGAAATCTTGGTGTACTGTTTGTGTAAGTAAAATTGAGAGTAAACATGTTTTCGCCTTTCTGTGCTTTTTTCAAACTTGAGAAACAGAAATTTTGTGTTTTTAGCCAGAATCGGAACAACAAAACCTTTCATTTGATACCAAATCTTTTGGTCCAGGTGCTACAGCACAGAAGCCAAGAGAGTCTGGGTTTGGTCTGAATGCCCCTGATTTCGGGAATTTTGCAATTCTTCACTTGTCATAACTCTAAAACAAGTTGACCTAGAACCCTGAAATTTTAATTTTGAGATTTCCTTATGAAGCCTTACATCTATGCGAATTATCAGAAAAATCAATGAGGGTCTACATCAAATTTAAGGGAAAAAATAGAATATTAACTTTTACTGATTGTTACTGGTCTGAATATATCTAAATCAGAGTAATAGAGTACCTTTGACTTTTACCATCCCAGTGTCAATGACATATTTCACCCCAGGAATTGTTATTGAAGTCTCTGCAATGTTTGTTGCAAGAATAATCTTCCTGTGACCTGGTTTAGTTTTTTCAAATACCTTCATTTGCAAAGCTGGTGGAAGTGCAGCAAACAATGGGCAAACAGTGATCTTCTGAAAATCTGTAAAAACCATAATTAGAACTGGTGAGCCATTAAGTGAAACATCGTATGAAATTGTGATTTGCAGTACAAACCAGGACAATCTGAGCATACAACTACATTCAAGAAATTGTACATACAGAAACTGCTGGGTCTGACCTCTTTTCCCTTTCAGATCCAAAAAAGTTGCTTGTTCATTTCCTGCATATTTGGCCCTCATATGAATACAGCTTACAAAATCCCAATTGAGAAAGTGAAGGAAGCATTTTTGTTTGAGTCAAGTAACAAACTTTATGGTCTATTCAAAAGCCAAGGTTGCCCATGAAGAACAAATGTTTTTTATTCATTTCTTATACAAAGTTACTCATAAAAAAGGATAAAAATAGGATAACAGACTTTAGATAAAGGATGCAAGTAGACTAATAGATTATCAATAAGACTGTCAAGCCTCTGCTGCCATCACTTGATAGAGAAGCAACTGAAAATTCCAAGGCACAAAGTGTAATCCAAACTGAGCTAATCTTGAAATGAAAAGGTGTTTACCAAAAATTCTGGATTGGTTTTTTTTACTTACTCTGGTCCAGCTGACTAGAGCAGTCAATTAAAAGCTTGGATAGGGACTCAATTTCCTCTTGTCCAGTTAGGAACACCAAAATATCATCTCTGAAACAAAAAATATAAAAATAGCAATTGAATGAAATCACTTTTCCTTGAAGCTAATCAAGGCTGAATTGACATCACGAGAACAAAAATGAGATACATAGTTAGATTAGATACAAGGATGGGAAAACAAGCAAGCATGGAAGATTTGCTCCCAGGAAATTTTTCACATCACTGCAAGAAATCGTGATCAACAAGAATTTTTTCATACCGTTCAAGAAAAAAATTATAGAGCATATGCTAATTTTTGTGAAAGTATATATAATCAAGGATATAATTTCAGTGATGTTGCCATACAGTGGTTAATTTTTTGGAAATATGACAATAAAAAATTTACAATGCAAGCTTTATAAATTGAAGAAGATAACCTCTAGACAGAGATAACTGCTGTGAAAATTAGGTTAAACACCACTCAATATCATTTAATTTCTGCTATGACATTTCAGAAGCTCAAAAAGGGTTTCATTTCGCATGCGATATGTCTTTCTCTTTAGAAAGATTAAAATAGAAATTGAACAAATATATGAATGGCCTTTTCTGACAAATCATCTTGAGCCTAGGGTGGAATCAATGTGAAGCTCTTGCCGGATATACCCTAAATAAACAATAGAAAGAGAACAGAAAACAGTTGGTCTATGCGAGCTATCTCCAGCATAAGCTACATGGATTCCACAATGTCTTGAGCATGCTCTATTGGTACATAGGCTAAAACTTTATAAGAGACCATAGCCAAGTTTAATAATGTACCAGGTCACCTAGCATCTAAAATTGTTAACAAAGTGAAAACTATTCAACTTTCAATGAGGGTGAATGCAAGAAAAGAAGTACGGAACAATTCTTTGTATACAATGGTTTTGTACTAACCCAAATCCGTGTTGCTGGTGAATTTGCAATGTAGAAACAAGAGCTGAATGAATATAATCTGTTTGCTGGTCGACAGCATACATCATTCTGATTGGGTGCCGCCGTCCTTCGACATATAGTACTTTTGCATTATTGAAATATTGTGCAAAATGCTCAGCCTCCAAAGTTGCAGACATGATGATGATCTTCAGTTTGTTGATTTTATTCTCTTTGCGTAGCTTTTGTGCTTGTTTTACCACCCCAAACAAGACATCTGTATGTATTGTTCTTTCATGTGCCTCATCTAGAATAATTATGCTATATTTCTTAAGCAGTGGATCGGCAATAGCTTCACGAAGCAATATTCCATCAGTCATATACTTAATTTTCGTTCTAGGGCCACTATGTTCTTCGAACCTGACAGTAAAACCAACAAGACTTCCTAATGAAACTCCCATTTCTTTGGCTACCCTGTCAGCTATGGATATTGCTGCTACCCTCCTTGGCTGTGTGCAACCAATCACTCCAGAATTTGCAAACCCTGCCTCGAACAAATATTGAGGCACTTGGGTCGTTTTCCCACTACCAGTTTCACTCATAATTATTACATTTTCATTCCTTTGCACCTCTGAAATTAGTTGTTTTTTACCAAAATAAATTGGCAATCGTCGCCTTTCTTCTTTCAATTTTCTCTTAGCATGTTCAAGACGCTGCCTGTCATGAACATGACCATTGACTTTGAGCCCATCCGTGGAGTTGTTATTGGGCCTAGCAACAGTTGTTCCAACATTCTGACTATCTAGTCGTGTCTTTTTTGGAGCTGGCTCCCCATTGATATTTTCAGGATTCTTTGTCATCCTTTTAGCGAACAGAAAGGTAACATTTGGTACAACGTTCTTACATTGAAGGTAAATGCCGTTATGATGTTGAGTGTTCTGCAAGCTCTCCCGCCAGCCTACAGGCCCCACGATGTAGCAGCAGCAACAGCAACCAAAAAGCACCATCGAGAACGGAATGGGGTCAGTTTTTCTGGATGCTACGGCGTGGCATGTTGGGGGCAAGGTGGCAATTTTCCCGTACGGTATTTCATGTTTCATCAGATTTTTATAAAATAAATTTTCAAAAAAGAAAAAGACATTCTTTTTAATACAATCAATTTGCTCCAATTGAAAAAATTAAACAAGACAGAAAGTTTGCATTTGAAATCTTTTCTTCCAAATAATGTATATTCAATCATGCCTCCAGTTTTCTCAATTTTCTAGTCAGCTATTCATTCTATTTTTAAACTGTAGAAACCGGCAGAAACCTACATTAATTACGGACTTGTACTAGCTCTTCAACATTCAAACAACAATAAACACTAATATAAAAGTTGCCAACAGAATAAACAATATGTTAAGTTTCTTATGGTGCTGATATAATACCTGGCGGTTTAATTAATTTTTTTTTGTATTTTTGATTTGAAAATATTGATGTGTATGCAAAGGGGCTGTAGCTTAGATAGGCCATAATCCAACCCGCCAGAGCATACATCATGTTTGTTAATGTATTTATCAGTTTTACTATCTTATTTCTACCACTTTACAAATAAGGTATTCAGTGCTTTCCTAGTAATCCTTCACCTCTCAGGCTGGACATCTAATAATATAAGAGCATTCGTTTCACACGTTTGAGTTACAAGAAGCAAACATCTTAGGCTTTGCAGATTCACTACAAAAGTTGCGTTAATGCTTAAAGTTGCTATAAGAGCGTCATCATTCGTATTCACGTCCTTTGAATAGAAACAAGACTCTTTTAATCAATTACATGCATATATGGGAGCAATTGCCCTTCTATCTCTAATGATATTTCTTTATCGATGAATCTAAGTCATTTTTTGAAAGAAGTTATCATGGAAATAAAGTCAGCTCATAAAATGGTTGTGGCAAATCATAAACAGAGAAGGCTTGCGTCGTAATATTGTACTTTGAAAAAAAAATATTGTAGATAAATAGCTAATTTTTCGTTTTACACAACAATATAGAGGATTTTGTTTTTTCTCTTTCTATTAAGCCTTAAAGTTTTTCAAGCAAAAATGTTTTTTAACACAAAGCTCTTATTCAAAGAAAGACCTTTGAATTATTGTACTCTCAAGTTCCTAATTGTAGTAAAATATAGAGGGAGTAGGCATTTTTTAAAAAAATCCTAAAATGGGGGGAGGGGGTTCATAATAGATTCAAATGCTTGGATTTTTCGAAATTATATTTAAATTTGGACGAAATTATGATTATCATGTATGAAATATATAATTAGGGGGAGTTAGTAAGTGGAAATGGTTATAAAATTTCTGAAAACTGGAGTTTACGCTCCCCCCCCTACAATTAGGAACTTGAGTGTAAGGAATAACCGTGGCAACTTCTCTAGATTAATGAAAAAGCATAACGTGAAAGTTACCTAATACCCTTGCAACAAAAAAAGAAACCTAATCCATTCTGACACAACATGTCAAAATAACATTTCAATTGATTGAAAATCTTTGGTTGATAATATCTAAAATTGCCTTCTACTGAGAAACGACAAGACAAGAGATTTTCACAAGAGTTTTTACGCAGTGAAATACATATTTTATTAAAAATACTCTCTCTATTATATATTGTCATAAAACATACTAGTTGTTATATCTACTTTAGCATATAAATTCATAAATTCGTTTTGTTTTACCATAATTACAAATACACTTTAATAATTTTAATTTCTGGACTGAAACATCTTTCAGTTGAATAATGCGAGAAAAAATATACTCAAGGAGAATCATCATAATTAAGGAGATTCTATGGATTTAAACGGATTCGTCATGTCTTTGTATTTTATTAGTTTTGTAAAAAAAAGCTTTAATACCGATGGTGCTATGAAATGTGTACGTGCGCAAGAATACCGGAGAGTTGCCTCACAAATGCTTATGAACATTGTAGTATTTGAAAATTCCTTTTTATCATTGAAATGTAATAAGAAATCTTTAAAGAGCTTTATTTTCAAAAACCCCATTTATATGTTTATTTTACCTGATAAACAATTGTGAATGAATCTAACAGGCAATGAATTCTACAGCCTCAGGCAGTATATGCCCGATTTTACAGTCTACAATTTCGATACTTTGAATAATAGAAGGTTCACGTATCCTTACTTAAATCTTCTTTAACGTAAGCTAGAACTTTTTTTAATTTCACATATAAGTACCACAAATTACAGAACTTCATATTATATATCTTTTTCAATAAGCTAGTATTCTGGATACTAAATTGCTATCTATTGAATCTAATTGTCTTGCAGGCCTTATTAGTCTGTTTCGTATCAATATTTTCCTCATTTTTCTTTCGAATGAACTTCTTTTAGGCTTCTTTGCTTCACCATCTGAAAAAGGATCACTGAATTAGTATACTGAACTTTTCCACGCAAGCAGGAAAAAAACCTAAGTATTCCAATTAACATGGATACTTTGCAATTGAAAACGAAATTATTTCTTTGCATCACCCTGCCTATTTCTACAAGACAGCAAAAAATCTTTGACCGTTGAATACGAATCATTGCCATGTAGACGGACAACCCATGATCCTGTTCTTATATCATTTGACTCACGACATGCGTATGCGAGGCCTTAGAAGATGTCTGTTTACATTTCAACGTAAGATTCCGCTTCACGATGCCTGGAAATCTTATGTAATGTTGATTACTTACGGAATACTCTTTGCACACACGTAGGTTTGTTTATATATACATCTCTCACCAATCAGATGAAAGTATTTCTCGCAGTCAAAAATAATGATTTTAACAGTTTAGTCGAGAGACGAGAACATATTTTCCTATTATTCATCAATAAGAAATCAAGCAAAAAGCAGTGGCGTACCCAGGGCTGCAGTAGTGAGGGGGTCTGGGGCCTAGCCCCCAGAATTTTTCAGGCCACGCCCTTCAAACACTCGCAAATGCGGGGAAACGCCCTTTTTGCAAAATTTTCCCCCATTATTTGATTCATTTTAGCTACGGTAAATAGCAAAGTATTTTACAATTGTTATTGACACAAGCATACAGTATACAACCCCCCCCCCCATGAGTTTTACATCGTTTTTGGACAAATCTCGAGGACCATATCTTAAAAAAGTGGGGGGTCCGGACCCCCTATTCCCCCCCTTGGGTACGCCACTGGCAAAAAGAGGCTGGGAGAAGGTTAAAACATTATTTGTGATGAAAGTAGATGCCAGGAAACTGAAATTGAGTAAGGATGTATCTCTAAACTTGTTGGTGAATTTTCTTGGATGCATATAATTACCTGGCAAGCAAGTCTTGGCACATTCTTCAGGAGTTGCAAAATTATTTTCATTTCCAAGACAACCATTGTAATCTATTGATTGGCATGTTTGCGCCTCGGGGTTAAAACTATAGCGCACCATCGACGAAGAACAAGATTTCGGACTCCATATTCTTTCACACACATCGCTGTCTTTCGAATCTAAAAATGAAAATTCAGAGGGCAAAAAGGTTAGTAAGAATATTTTTCAGAGACGGGAAAAGTTAAAGCTGAGATAGGGGGTACAAATCGCGTAAAAAACAATAAAAACTCAATTCAAAGAAATGAAGAAAGACTAGAAAAACCACAACTGGGCGGTAAACAGAAATGTTTTTTAAGGTATCTGGCCGATTAATACTTCTTTCCTGTGAAATTTTTATACTGTATTCATTTCAATCTGCTCTCAAGTCTAAACAGGTCAAGATCAGTCAAAATAATACATACTGCAGAGTTTTTTGCATCCCTCAATTCCTTGCGATACGTTCTTTTGGGCGCACTTGCTGAGTGTTTCCTCGAGATACTTTTTGCATGTTTCGCTCTTGCCTTCTGCTGCTTCAACTTGTGTTTCATATTGCAATGCACTGTAGCATGGTCCACGCTCAGTAACAGCTAGGCATGTTGCAGCTGAAATTGGCAACGAGAAAAATTGAATGTACAATTTCATTTTAAAGTCAGCTTACTTATGATAAAGCCCTACCTATGCCGCAAAACAGATGACTTGATCGTAGATTCGGAAAGTGGTCCCTTTTCAGGAAAGCAGAGTATGAACATTTTAGAAGTTCCAAATCATAACTTGGGGAAAAGGTAGATGTAGAATTATCCCTTGGACATAATGGCTTAGAAATGAATGAAAAGAAAAGACTTCTCTTTTCAGGGCTCAGTTAAACAAATTTGAAGGCAGTCGACAAATACTGAAGGGATCTAGGCCATCTTTCAATAAAAATTGACCAATCAGCGAGTGTGATTCCACTCACATGCTTATTGATTGGCTAATATTGATTGACAGACGGCTTTAGCCGCTTTTATATCTGTCGATTGCCTTTAAAGCAATACAATTGTTATACTAATTATCTGAGCACCGATTACGATCATCAACGTTATGCGAAGCAGACAACGGTACCTTTCTTTGCAGCAGATTTTGCTAGGGTTTTTGGTGCAGTAACTTGAACTTCGGTCTCGATACGTGGATTCTGGTCCAGCTTGATCTCCAAAGAAGGCTGGTCGTTAAGTAGATATGCTTCGTTGCTGTTTGGATCAATGGCCCTGAAGGTGGCAGATTCTTTAGGTGACTTCAAGAAAAATGTGCTTATGAAATTGGGCGAAAGCACCGTTGGTTCTCCGATACCAGATACTTCAAAAATCTTTACTTCTTTATCAGCTCGGTTTATGAAGTTTACTTTGCCGTATTTCATTGCTGATTGATCTCCACTTTCAGATAGTTGCTCATTGGTCAGCTGAGAACCTACAATGATGAATTTATAATGGTTTCTAAAACGGCATACTTTTATATCAGTAGATACCCAATACCTTGTCACATTTGTACCAGGTCCAACTGCACAACAGTGCCTATCCTTCTTAAATACTTAGGTTGAACCTGTTCCCAATTTTTTCTTAATGGTAAATATAACATGGAAATCTAGGCAGATAACAGTTACAACACGACTATAACATGGAACAAGAAAGCTAGACAACAAATATAAGTATTTACTTTCATAATGGACAAATTTTGTCCAACAAAAATACTTACTATTTTGGCTCGAAATCACTATGGTAGTTGGCTGGTCATTTTCCTTGATAATCAAGACCTCTTTGTTGTTTATTAGCAATTGCGTTCCATCTCTAACTGCGACTGCTTCAAACTGGACAGTCGCTCCGGTCAAAGAAAATGATACAGTCCCAGTGGCACCAGCAGGCACATTCTTGAAACTCTTTCCATTTAAACGCAGATCGACGTCAACACCAGCAGAGTTTTGTATTTTGCTCGTTGCTGTTTTGATAGCACTCGTTGGAGCCTGACCACTTCCAACCATAGAATCTATATGGAAAAATGAGATCTTGTTTAGAAAAAGGACTGAAAAATGTGGACCGTTGTCCATTCGTTTAGGAATGAATCAACAATTGATTACAAGGGTGACCAAAACGCTCACAAGAAAGTGGAAAATGACAAAATCACAAGAAGTATTTTCCCAAATCACACAAAATCTACAAGAGATGCACTTTCAATCGTTCATGAATGTGTGCATCAATTCTGAACAATCTTTTTCAAGAAGGGGTATCTCATGTAGTTAAAATTACTAAAAACGGTTCTAAAAACCAAAGTGAAAGCTTGTAGATTTAGTTCTGACATGTGTGACAAAATAGACAGGTTTACCATTTAGATGAGAGCCAGTTTCCTGTGTCGCTTTGCTTTCAGTTTGGCCACCAACTTTAATGTCTGAGCCACCAAAATTTCCAAGCCCATTCCCTGCAATGTCAGCGTAGTTTCCAAGAGTTGCGTAATGGAAGTTCTTTCGGGCAGATTCCCATCTTTGTTCTAAGAGCAGAAAGCATAGATAGGCTTATAAAACTTGGATATTTCTACCATCGGCAACATACCCTTCAATTAGATTACTATAACAAACAATAATATCAGAAAATATTCTCACCCTCTGTATGTATTATGACGACAACATAGGCAGCATTAACATCGATCGGATATTCTTCCTCTCCATTAACGAGCAGCTTCTCCCCTGACCCTTTGACACTAGCTCGCAATTTGACAGGCTTCGACCTTCCAATCGGGGTTGCTGGGAGAACAAACATGCCAGCAGTTTTCGGGTTCGCAGCCGTTTTATATAAAGTTCCAGTCGTTTCTGAAATTTCAGCCTCCTTTCCAGCAATGTTATTAAATGCGACGGGTATCATTCTAAGCTGCGATGGAATCGAGTTAGATGTGAGTTTAGTTACTCCTGGTTGGGATAAGTCGACTTTCAATCCATTGGTTTCTTCTAGCGTTTTCCGAATGGTTTGCCAGTCTTGACCTTAAAGAATTGAATATTTTAATGCAAACAAAGAGAGTTGATTATCAGAGAAAATACAATAAAAAGTGAGGTTTTTTGGTACCGACTTTGAAGCAAAAGAAGATTGGTCTTCTTCGGCCAATTAACAATACAAAGAAAATGTAGAGTAGAAATAAAAGAATTAACAACAAATACCTTTAGCATGGATGACAAGCCAATATGGCGACAATGCTTCAGGTGAAACATCCAGCTCACTTTTACCGTTGATGTATAGCTCCTGACTGCTGTCTTTCATTGTCGCTCTGAAACTCAGTGGAGCGAACCTTGATTTTGCCTTCACTGTAAGATTGGCTAAAATATCTTTTCTTGGAAGCTCTATGCGCTGAAAAGTTCCTGACGTTTCTTCCACGTATACAAAGCCATTAGCTCCATTAGCAATGATAAAATCTATCTTCTCCGGCATGAATTGTTGCTTTGAGGTAGCATCACCTCTTGAACTTGCTGGGGATGAACTTTGAGAAGAGGACACTGCATTCGATGACGGAGACAGCATACCACTTTGTGAAGGTACAGGGCCAGAAACTCTATTACTACCAGAATTTATTTGTTGATTCGGGCTATTGGTTTTTCCGTAATCAGTAGACCCGGGTGTACTTTGCCCACTCTGGATGTTTTCACCAGCAGTCAAAGCCGTAGACGTTGCCTCCGTCTTCTGCTGTTCATTAGATTGGGTCATTCTTCGGAATTCTTCATATCTTGCAGTCTCAAATTGAAACCCTATAAACAGACATAAAGCAAACATAGGTCATTGATAGAGGCTGAATGCAATTCTAGCCTGAAGTTTCGAAATCCTATTCACAAGAAACCAAATAACTGAACAGAAATATCACGATATAAACAAGCATTTTGGGTAAGCAAGAGGATTTTCGATGTATGAAAGACAATGGTGCGTACCAGGCTTGTGTACAACAATGATCGTGCTAAATCCCGTTGCGTCTATGTCAATTGGAAGTATCTTCTGTCCATTTAACAACAGCTCTTCCCCACTTCCGTTTACGAATGCCTTGAACTTCAGAGGCTCTTGTCTGGCTCTAATTAAGAAACCAAGCGTTGCAGTTGCCTCATTTGGTACATCAAGTCTCTGGCCAGCACTTGAAATTTCTTGTATGCGAATGTTCGTGGCAGCTTTGTTGATAACTTTCAGTTGCAGGGCCTTGGCGTCATTGGCATTATCGTATTCGGATGGTTCACTGACTTGCACCAGACCTTGGTTTTCTGTGCCAATAAAATCCAATGTCGCCACACGTGTTGCATCCCAAGAGTCTCCTGAAGAATTCAAAACAATGAACATTTAACGGTTGCTTATAATTACCATAACATCACTAAACTAAGGCACGACTTTCATGTTTGTAACTAGACATTATCCATAGTGAAATTAATGAAATTTGACACCTGAAGCAAGCCCATTATTACCTTGTTGAAAAAGCATAGATAAAATATTGCTGAAAAGCACTAGTTGCGTTGTGTTCATTCAGTTGCAGCAACATGCTAAACAAACTAAACTAGAAATGAACAAACCTTGTCTACCAATGACAATTATTGACTCCAACCCTTTTGCAGTTTTAGGGTCTACTAGCAATTCCTTTTGACCATTGACCAAAAGAGGCTCATTATTTGATTTCACCGAGGCCTTAAAGCGCAATGGCTGTGTTCCACCCGATATAAGCAAGCCAAGAGTGGCTGTTGCATTGCCTGGAATGTCGACATTCTCTTTCTTGTCTGTCACTTCCTCCAAGACAATAGTGTCCTTTTGCAGCATGTTTACAGCTGTAATCTGGAGATGGTATTTTGGTGGCTGGGAGCTTGTTTGGCTCTGGGCACTAGCATAATCAGCTGAGGTGTTATTTGAAAGGTTTGCAATAAGATCACCAAGTGACTCTGGAGCACCGCTTCCTGTTTGTAGAAGAGACGATTGGATTTGCTGCCAGTTTTGACCTACAAATAAATAAAGGTGACCTTGAGACTAATTGCTCAAAGTACATTTGGAGAACCTTTACTCTGTAAATACTAACAAACAGAGCTGAAGTTTGATTTCTTTATACAAACATCCGAAAGTTGAAACACGAAATCCCATGTTTGTAAACATATTTTCTATTTTACTTTTGCATAAAGAATTGTAAAAGAATGACGATGAGTTGAGAAAGCAGGCTGGTAAGCACCATTTTTCAGCTGAAGTGACTACTGCTAGAAAGTGGACCGCTTTGTCAAAAGTCTACTTGTTTCTCGTATAAAGGCCTAAACTATCAACAAGTTTTTTGAATGCATTCTTCTATACCCTTAAAAGCTAAACCATTTAAATGGTAGTCAGATATGTCACAAAACCCTTGCTCATTTCGACTGTGTTTCCAGGTACAAAGTAGAGAATTACTAGTGTTCTTATTGACAAAATAACTACCTTCATTGTGAACAACAAGGATGTTCATCAGTGACAGATCATTAATATCCAGCGTAAAGATAGACTGCCCGTTGATTAGAACTTGTTTTTTGCTATCTTTTATCAAAGCATCAAACTTGAAAGCATCCTTTTTGCCCCTTGAAGACTTTGCAATCTGCATCATTTCACTTTGCTGCACATCAACTGACTGCCCCGATGAGGTCTCCTCCACAGTTATGTCTTTATGCAACATGTTCATGATGATGAATTGTGACGTCATTATGTCCGTAAGACCGAAATGACCTCCGGATACCTCGCTTTGCCAATCTTGATCTGAAAAAGTGGAGCAAATCAGGATTACAGATAGAGTCTATAAATCACTACAACACAAGCATTTCAAGCAGAAAAAATATCGTAGTCAAATAGCTCTTTTTCACATTTGCATCGAAAATTGTTTCAGATATGAAAATCAGTGACATAGTAGCAAGGCAGTATTTTCTCAAAGTAAACAACTTAATTTCTTCTAGACTATATTAAATGTACAAACAACATGATGAGGGTCGATAATGAATATGATAGCAAATAAACTCACCGGCTTTGTGTACGACAAGATTAACGATATCACTTGAATCTTTGCTTGGGCTTGCAGAAAGATTCCTCTGTCCATTAATCAGCAACTCTTCTCCAGTCTTCTTAACTGTTGCTTTTAGTTGAAAGGGTGCGCTTATTCCAAATGCTGAGATTCCACCTTGCAAGATGCTTCCTTTCATTAAATCAAATCTAAGCTTTGTTATAGCCGATTCTTCTATTGTGACAAGTCCCTCGCCGGAAATATCAGTAGCAGCAAAATGGAAGGTTTTCTTGTTCGAATCTTGTCCATTCACAAGTGTTTTCCAATCTTGTCCTGGAATACAAATACTTTTAATGGAACATTTTTTCATTAGAAAACAAAGTTCGAAACCCTCGTCTTTAAGTAAAGGCGAAAATGAGGAGATGATGAATATAATGTTTAATTTCTAAAATAAATTACGAAATATTTGCAGTAAAAAATCTTTTAGCAACAAATTGCACCATGCCAAAATTTTGGATTTGTTGATTGAAAATTCTATCGACAAGCTTAAGCATTCACCTTTTGATTGAAAATGGAATATTCTAGCAAACTTTTTTCTAACTCAGCAAAGATTACAAGAAAAGGATCATACCCTCTTTATGAACATAGAGACCAGGGAACGAGCCAACATTTCCAAGAGTTTTCAGATCAAGTACATATTCCTTTTGTCCACTGATGAGTAACTTGTCACTACCGCTCTTGCTGACAGCTACGTACTTAAGTGGTGGCCTCTCTTTGGACAATGTCATGGCAACCAGACCTTTCTCCTTATTGAGGATATCGATTGTCTGCTTTGTCCCACTTATTTCTCTGACTGTGATATCTTGATCCGCCATATTTAATACAGGAAAAGTAACTACAAAATAACAGAAGCACCTTTATCAAATATTCTCTTTCTTTGCTTTCAGCTTATTTTGTATTAAGAGAAGATCAGTTTCGCATAGGAATTTAGGAAACAAAATTGCATGAAGAATAGATAATCATCGATAAATTTTTACAGTGATGAGTATCTTTGACCTCCATTCATGTATTCGCTTTACAAAAGACCATAATGCTTGAAATATGAGTAACAATTGAAATTTGTTTTTAATTCCAAATGCCTAAAGCGGTCTAAAAGAATGACAACGCTTACTGGTTGGTCCTGTTTTTCCTGTAGTTCTTGTTGTTGTGTTGCTAGCTGCTGTTGTCCCAGAATTCAATGCAATATTATTTGATGGGGAAGCTGAAGCTAGATTCGTAGTAGTGCTTGCAGAAGAAGGCGGAGCCACGTTGCTGGTCAGAGGAAGTTTGTTTAATGTCGATACTCCCAATGAAGATCCTGTCGATGCAGATGTTGCATCTTTTTCTGCAAGAACGGCAGAATGCAAGATTAGTGTGTTATAAAAAGAAAAGAAACATAAAAAGAGACAATTCTCAATGTGTCTCTCGTGCAAATACATCTTACAACAGTCTTCCCTGTGCATTAGCAACACAAATCAAAAGCTAAAGATTTGATTAGCTTTTTCAAATGCCGCATAAGAAAAAATAGGGAAGATTGGTGTACTGAATGTGTCTGTTTTAACTAGATATAGAAAGCAGTCAGTATTTGAAATATTGGAATGGAGTATTGTGAGGCAACAACAACAACAAACAATTTAACTTCTGAAGACATAGTTCTCATCCAGTACTTTTTAATTAAATCCTTTAATGAGCATTCGCAAATAAAAGTAGCGTAAACAAAATGAACGTGTGACAAAGAGCGCAAATCAGAAATGTTTCTATTGGCTTTTTTGCCCAGTCAATCACTAACTGCAAAGGTTTTCTTTAACTCACCAGTTGCCAGTGACAAACATTACCAGTAAATGCTTTCATATTAATAAATACAGAAAATAAGGAGAACTCTGGAAAGCTATGGCATTAAAACAAATTATTCACCTAACTCAATATTGATATGTTTCCATATTCATTTTTGTCAATAGAAAAGCATGAAAGTGCTTTATAAAGATCACAACCTAGAGGCTGTGTGAATTTTCGCACGTAATGAGTGTTTTTGACACAAACAAAAGCGACTGAGTTTTCACGTCTTCTATGAACACAACAAATTATATATTAAACGGCAGAACAGCATACATTAGTTTTGACATTACAGTTTAGACAAATCTATTCGTATAAAGCATCATTAATGTAAAAGCTAGATTTTCTATAAGCTGATTAAGCTACTGAACAGAAAAAACACTTAAATACCAAAATCGACAACGACTAATTAGATTCACATAGACGTATTTTATTCTTAAGCATCGAATGAAACATATTCTTTACGGTCTTGCATGAAATATCTTAAATACATTTGCTTTGCGATAGTTAATGTATGTTATTATTCAAAATGTTCCATCGTTTGTTATTGATTTATTTTAATAATAGAAGTTATTCTTCCTCATTTTAAAGATTTCTGATGAATGTTTAAAAGCAAGCGCTGATAAGCTTTCAGATAAGCTGTGTACGAGTCTCGCTTTATCTTATAATAATACAATAAACTAATATCAAATTGAAGGATATGGGATGAAATTATTAGTGGCTGAATAATTTCAAAAAAGCCCTACAAGCTATTAAATATTTTCTTAAATCTTTTATATTACACTACGCTTGTTCTCTCAGTTTTGTAGGTTTAATATCGACAGAACCTCAACCATTCATCTGTGCATCAGAATTAAGCTTGGAAGGCTTGTGAATAGTCTTTTCTGAATTTTTTTCTGGTTTTCTTTCTTTGCTACTACAATGTTTGTTACTTTCTCAAGTTCTTTGGCAGGGTCGATTTTCAAAGAATTTACCCCATTCAGAAGCAGAGATTCATTGCTGTCTGTGCTAATCGCCCTAAGAACGATAGGCCCATTTCGGACAACATCAAACCCAAGTTGAGTGTTAGACATTGGTAGAACAATAAATGGCTTTCGTGCTCCAGTTAGCTCTATGAACTTCACCGCAAAGTCAAGCGTATTTTTTATGCTAAGCATTACAAACTTGGTATTATCTTGGCTCTGTTTTGAATGATCTTCGTTACCTTCACTGTCGTTTGTTGTCTTGTTTCCTTTGTCACTACTGTTATTGGCTGGTCCACTTAATGTGGCATTCGTTAGTTCACTGATAGTAATCAAAGTATCTTGTGACGGATTTTGACTTGAAGATACTAAAATCTGAGTTTCTCCATTCAATGCAACTCCTTCTGTCTTTCCACCCAGAGTTATTCCAGCGAGCATCACAAAGCCTGTGGTTTTCACAAAGAAACCAACCTGACAGATCCGGTGCTCGGGGACAACTAAAGGCTTCATAAGGTTTGAAATATCAAAAAGTACAACAGGTTTTCCCAATGTATTGTTGATGCTCAGCATAACTGCATTAAGTTTATCTTCTTTATGCTGCAACCCTGTATTTCTACTTGTTACTGTTATTTCGTTTAGGCCATTCACATCAAGAGGTAGATAAACCCTCAGCTGCCTTTGCCCGTTGACTAGAATTTCCTCTATCTGGTTCCCGCTGTTGGCATGGAATATAAGAGGCCACGTCTTCTTCACAAGCAATCTAAGCGTCTTCACTTCGAATGGTAGAAGTACAGTTGGTTCTACTGCACCAGTTATCTCGGTGACCTCCACAACCACACCCAAAGTGTTACGGAAAGTCATCGTAAGAGGCAATTCCTTAACTTGGCTTTCTTGCTTTCCTGAGTTCTCCATTGATTTCTGGATTTCAGACGACATATTTAAGCGAGATTCTCCTCCTTGTTCTGTGTTATATGGCGTAATCTTCCCGGTTTGTTTACTGTTGTTCGCAGCCAACACTATATGGGCCTGCTTGTATATGTCATTTTCTGGCTGGATTCTGACTTTCGGGAATTGATTTAGGAATACAGTATCGTTGGTGCCAAGAACATGACCCACCAGAACCAAAGAGCTATTGTCACTAAGAGCCAGGCCAAAATGCAACTGTGCCCGTGGATGAATGATTACTGGGTTTATTCTTCCATTCACATCTTGCAGCTCAACTCTGCGATCGACATAACTTTGTACGAACAACATTAAATAGGAAGCCGAAGACAAATTAGTGTAAGCTTTCATTAAGGCTTCTTGCTCACTTTGAGGCGCGAGGTTGGAATTACGAAGCAAGTTTGGTTTTGTCCCAGCCGTCTTCTTATGGCCTTGTATCATTTCATTTGAAGTTTTACCAAAAGCAGTAGAAGTCAGTTGCTGAGAGATTTCACTTTCTGCAAGAAATCAACAAAGATAACTCACTAACAGCTCATTTCTTTCAGAATTTGTCAAGTTGTTTTCTTTGCAAATTTGATGAAATTTTTCCCATATCTATCAAAAACTGTTAGCGGGTTAGCTTTACTGTTTTCTCCCAGGTATGAAATCTAATCAAGCACATTTCCGACTGACTTCGTAAATAACAAAGAAAAAAATGTAGCTGCAATACCAAGAAGATTGATTGATCACCAAAACCAGAATTGAATGCAGATGCAAACAATGGCTACAGTGATCTTGGTTTGTTTTAAAGATGTTCGCGGTTTACGTAGACTAATGAATTGCTGCCAAAGAGATGAGCACGCACATTATGCCGCTAAAATGATACAGTACATCACGCATCTGCTCTTGAAACGTTTGAACTTTAAGTTGTTCTCAGGGTGTGTTTTCACATGTATCTGTTTTCAAAGCGTGCGAATATAAGGGTAATATGAAAACAGATATATTATTCCTGCATACATGGTAAAACGGAGTAGGGTAAACGGGGCTTGAAAACGCTAAACACGAGAATTTAATTGGAAAGTAAGCAATTGGCGTTGAGTATGTCGTCTCTTTACGTGCCACCTTCTAAGATGGTTTCTAAAGATGGTTTAACAAATGAAGAAAGCTACTCACGGTCACTAATGGTGATTTTCACATCTGTGCCCACCATACTCAGACCAACTGTGAAGACTTTCTGGCCGTTCAACAAAAAGGACGTTCCTGGATTATCAGCATCCTCTGCGGTTATTTTTGCCTCGTTGGAAGTTGAGGATATCTTCAGCTTGAAGCTGTCCTCTCCAGGGGAAATGATGAAGTTCTTCGTTTGTGTTGAGATGTTAAGCTTTACGGTCTTGTACAGGCTGTTAGATAATTCGATGTTTGCTGTCTTCCATGATGGTGCATTTGCTGTACCCCCAGATGAATCAACTGCTCCAAGATCTTAAATAAAATTCATTTATAGTTAAAATTCATACAAAGATACATGCTGAAATATTGCAAGAATTTTGGTGAGTTAAAAGAGTTACAAAATTATGAAAAAGTGAAAACTTTACCATCAATTTAGATGTCAAAAAATTTAAAAACTTGAAATTACCTTTAGCCAGGGTGACGATCAGGTTTTTTCCTGGGTCACTAGAGAGCCAAACATTAGCAGGGAAATTGAACTGGCCTCCAGCTTGATCACTTACAGTTACCTGTTAAACAGAATAATTCCGTATAAGTTTATAAATAAAAACACCCATAATTATAATGAAAAATTAGGATGCTGACATTTAGCAATAATTACAATGCAAAAATTCTTTGAACTTCTCTACAACACGATAGAACTGCAAATTGAGGGCAGATATTTTTCTAGAAGCTAGGTCAATTAGTAACAGTTAAAAGTTTGGAACTGCTACAGATATTGCAAAATTCTGCTAAGGTATCCACGAGTTTAAAGGAACTTATGCAAGTAAATTAGACTGACGCGGAAATATTCGCATTTGAATGGTTTTGTTAGAAATTGTACTGTGTTACTGATATCGTTTACTTGAAAACTGGTGTTTATATGAATTATGCAGATGATCAAGTTGCAAGTCAAATGAAAACGTCACTAATTCTCAGGAAAATAAACTATCTTGAGCAGCCCACCTTGTCGATGAGCCAGTCTGGGCTATCTCCGGTGTCATCCGAACGCAATTGGATTTTCTGCAGCTCACCAAGACTTCCAGTCTCTACTTGAAATACGTCTTTTCTGAAAGAACCAAAGGTACATTTAACTAGAAGTTCTTCACAGGATCATTCATTATGAAGAAGCCTATTAAATAACATCCAAGCTGAACACAATTAAATGAGATATCTTATTCGGTAGTCCCACCATGTGACATTAGTTTCAATAACTGCCAGCAAAGGAGACTAGAAAATCCTCTACTGCTTTCATCAAAGCAAAAGATAGCACAAATGAATAAAAATATCCAATGATCACGTACTCTCCAGGCCTGAATACTTGCTCATCCTGTCCATTCAGTTCAATTTCTTCTGATTCTCCCAGTGATCCAAATAATTTGACAAATACTTTGGCATTCGTTCCTGCGGTTTCACCCACACCAGTCAGTGTTGTGATATTATAGTGTTTCGCTGTAATAAAATTTTTGCAATTTAAATCCATTGCAGAATGAATATTTTTGCAACAATATACGTAAGTCTTTGAGGCATGACTGAAAATGCAGTTTAAAGGCATGTAAGTTGATTGAATTGAATCAAATCGAGCTGATTGTTATGTACCACTCTTCTTCCACATCAAAATAAATCGTTCCAGCTTTCAAACAGGATATGAATGTTATGTACCTTGCATGTCATCTTAGACATAGTAAACTTAGATATAGGATAGCAGAGGGTGTATGAGCTTACCTTCAGCACTGTTCATTGACACAGATACATTGTAATTTGGATCTGTTGTTGGCTGCACTTGAAAAGATGTCTGACCATTCAATTCAACCACAGCCTGGGTTTCTTTGGTTTTTGCAGTGAATGTGACCGGCTCATTGATAGAAGACTGAATTTCAAGTGTTGCTTGGGAGCCTGGGTACAAGTCTACCTCTTTATTTGCCATTGGGATATTCGTTTCAGCGGTGATAACTACAGTCGATCCAGCCAAATTGCTGAAAGTTACTTTTGCGTATCTCATCTCACCACTTCCATTAGCACCTATGAAGTAGCAAATACCACGTTAGATGTTAGTAGTGAATGCGAACACTAAGTGACATGAACTGAAACTTCTTTTGCCTACGTTCAGGCTAAAAAGGAACTCTAACAGGAAAAAAAATCAGAGAAATATAAGATATTTTTCGAATACAAATACAGTTGTTCGAAATGATCTGAAAGTAGCTATATCCAATACATTTCAGTTGAGAACTCTCAATTATGTGATTAAAAGAAGAAACGTACCAAGTTTTTCCTTGCTGCACTCTTTGGCTTCGTCATTCCATATAGTGTTGGATGGGCATTGCTTTTTCTGGGCGATTCCTCCGTTGCACGAAATGAAACCATATCGATCAGCTGCATCCGAGAACACCCCATTTTCTTCAGGACAGGACACTGTAAAATCAGATTCCATTAAATGAATAAGTTACAGACATACTTCAAAGAATACAAAATTCAAAGACAATCGACAGATACTAAAGAGATCACCCCCGTCTTCAATCAAGGATTGACCAATCAGCGAGTGTAATTCCACTCACAAGCTCATTGATTGGCTTATATTGATTGACAGGTGGCTTAAGCCATTTTTGTATCTGTCAGTTGCCTCCAAAGTAGTCTAATTTTAAGAAAATAATGATATCAATGAGTCAATACGATCTATTTAATGAAGTGCCTATGCCAAACTCAAGTACATAACAAAGCCCACAAAATTCTAACTAGATTGGCCAAGAATTCAACTCATCAAGACAGAAACACAGGACGTATTACAATGCCTACAAAATCGTTAAAAGAGACCAATATACTCACAGACAGCAGTTATCAAAGCATCGAGGACCGGCTCTGAAGTTTCTGTTGGCGTTGCTACATAAGTTGTTTCACCTTCAATCAGCAACTTTTCACCGGTTTTTAAATTTTTAGCAAGAAACGTAACAGGGAAATTCGTCTGTGATCCTTGCTCAACCAGTCTCAATTCCAGAGTCATTGACGGCTTTATAGGGTATCCGTTGGTGCGATGCTCGCCTTTATCAGGGAATAGGATGACATCCACACCAGCTTTGTTTTCAAAGTTCACATTAATGTAACGATCAGCTGATATTGTTGTTGCTGTTGCAAGAAAAAAAACTGCGTTAGTCATTCTGCGAAGCGTGAAGGTTATTAGAATATGTCTTGAGCTGTATGGGTAGAATTGAATTTTTCATCCATTTTAGAGGTGCGTGTATTTTAGCAGTCTATACAGAAATATCGATTTTTGGTAAATAGGCTTTTTTCATTGATCAACGTGAAAGCTTATATCAAGATGAATTCTTTAATTTTTGGAAAGCTTCAATTAATAATGAAAATCAAATAAAATGAAAATCTTACTGTGTCCCCAATAGTAGACGAAGATCTTTGTAGCATCAATCCTGTTTATATGTGTTTCAAACAGCGTGCAGATGGCCATGAACAGTTTTGCAGAACTATCCGCTGCTCTTTTACTTTGAGACAACAGATTGCTGTGTCCTAAAACTAAATTACTGCTCTTCTCTGCAGTGTGACCTTGGCTTTCTATTGGGTCTCTTACACTGCCTCTTTCAGCACCATTCAGGAATACGGTCAAACCGAGGTCAGATTTCCATGTCAACATAATAAATAGCCAATCATTGAAATTGATATTTGTCTCAACCTGTAGACAAATATTGTAAACAATACATCAGATCCTTAATAAATATAAATATTCTTACTGAAAAATAAGCATCTTCACAAAATCAGCAAATGAGCATCTTCAAAAAGAATGCCTTTAGACAAAGGAAACTATCGACGAATGTCAATTATTCAAGCCAGCTTTCACATTCTCTTTGAGGAGGCATTCATCCAAAATATTAATTTATAAAGACTTACCCGCCACATTTTGTTGTTGTATGAAACTTCAAAGTAGAGTTTGTTGCTCTGCAAGTAAATTGTGAACCCTTGGCCATTGTGACCTCCAGTATCAATAACATATCGGGGCTTGGTGAACTCCTTTGCTCCGTCATCAAACTTGATTTTCAACCCGACTGTAAACCCGTTTTCACAGAGAAGGGGATTTGCGAAACACTGGCCTAAATTGAAGAATAAAATAATATCAAGGATAATTATCTAAATATTTTATGATTTCGAGAAAGTAAGTTCTTTGGCGCTATTATTAGTTTGATATCATTTAAATTCGTATTGACTATTTGATAGAAAGCCATAATAAACATGATTTAATCTAGACAAAACCTAAATAAGACTTTCCCTATTCATTAACCAAATAGCTAGAATTGTTCCTCTCATGAAGACCATATCTTACCTTGGAAATCTCCAGCATTCAAGTAAGCAGATTCATCTTCTAACACAAGGCTGTTGCCAGAAACTAGAATATTTCCGTAGGTTTTCAGAGGAGGATTGGTTGGAATTTGACCGTTTCTTACTGTGTTCAATGGCCATATATAAGCAGGGTTAACACCAGGTGCTGAAATAGCAATGAACAAAAACTATATTAAAAACGTAATTTGATAAATAAATTTGAGATTCCAAATATCTCCAAAACATCTTAAATGCGCATGCAAGAAAATTTAAATCAAATATTAATTTCCTGTATCTTTGCCAGGGTAAAAGCTTTCCGTGTGTAGATGAATCGATCCAGAATCGAGTAGGTATTAACATAAAATTATTAATGATTCTTGCATTATTGGGCAGTATAAGTTAGAGTTCTAGTTGAGCTCATAAAAGATTTCCTAATAAGAAAGCGTTGATATACCAGGAAGTTGATGTGATTGTTACACATATAGTTCGCCGTGGTTTGAAGGTGCAGCATCATCGAGAATCATGAACTGCATGCAACATGACATATTTCTCATGCGCGGGAAGCGTATAGGTGTCAAAAAGTCTAAAACTGTCGTTAAAATTATGAAATCAATATAAAGGAGAAAATTTCCACAAACCTGGTACAGTTATAACTATATCGGTATAGTCAGATTGGCTCTCTGAAGGTGTAATTGGCACTGGCTGGTTGTTGTTGTTGACAAGCAAAAGCAAACCAGTCTCGGCGTCAGTTGCATTGAAGTAGACCGGTGCAACGGATTTTCCGTCAGTTGACAGATCAATTAAAGTGATCTCTAATGGCTTATCTGGTTGCACAATGAATCCTTCTGCACGTCCTTTGTCCGGTGTTAGCCTGACGGTTCTTCCAGCGTCATTGTTCACACGCAGAATAGCTGAATAGGCTTTGGCAGTATCTAACAGGAAAAACAGCTAGTTAAGACTTTTTCTAATAAAATAGACAATAATAAACAAGAAAAAACAGGTTATAAATCGATTAATAAAAAATTCCACGATGAAGTATCCCTCATTTTTCACGAGCCTTATTGTTAAGCTGGCTTTATGAAATCAAATGCATGTCACAGTCATTAGTACCTTGACAATAACTAAAAGCAATTCCTTTTCACATGTTTATCATTAAAGCAAAATGGTGATACTTACAGCTACTCCAGAAAAATATGTAGACATTCGTGACGTCTGACTCTGGTACAAACTTATTGAAAGCTGTGAAGGAGCTAACTGAGAACTTGGCATAGTAGAACGAAGGTCCGCGAACATTACGGCCAATGCTGAAATTTGGATTCGCTTCAATAAGCTGTGTTCCCGTCATTGCAGTCCCAGATGGGTCGGTGGCCTTTAATTGTGCATTGAAATAAACAAAGAGCCCAAGATCTGGCTTCCAGGTTGCAATGATGTATACCCATTCAGCAGCAGATATTACTGTTTCCGCCTTGAAGAGAAAAATCATACCCAAAATTCAGTTTATACAAACGATTCTGGCAGTATTCAACGAATGGAAAAATTATTGCAAGGAAGCATTTAGGTATAGAGGTTTCGGTAATATTTTTATAGCCAAAACTCAAATCATGTGTATAATTTCAACTAACCGTCCAGGTTTTGGCGCTTGTTGTTAATTGAAAATGAAGTTTTCCATTCTTCAGATAAACCGATATACCACGCGAAGTCCCACCATGGGCACCAGTATCAATGACGTAATGAGCGTCAGTGTAAGCTTTAGCAGATTCTTCAAACATAAACTTTCCAGCAATTGAGAACCCGTCGATGCAAAGACCTGGGTCAAGCAGGCAGTCGGTGCTTTTGAAGTGTCCGTCAATCCACGTTGAAGCTCCGTCAAGCTCTAGTCCTCCGCCAGTGACACTTTTAATGTCCCCATGAGCGCTCAGGTTTGGATTTCCAGGGATTACGTTTTCCTTGACTTCAAGTAGAGCGTACGAATGGCTAGGGATAACTTTCAAGGCTAGAGAAGAAATACAAGACATTTATGTTTCTTGATTTAACTTGGTATGTTTATGAATTCTATGTAAAGGAGCGCTGAAAACCTCAACTCTGATTATGTTTTTACTTTAGCAACCTACTTTAAAAGATAAGATGCAAACTCACCTTGAGGAGTTAATGTAATGTTGTGAATAATGCTTTGGTCAACAGACGGATTTAACTTGATAGTTAAGCTGTTATTCAGCAGCACCTCTGTCGATTTTTCTTGGTCATATGCTTTAAATAAAATTGGTTCAAAAGGATCATGACTGTCAATTGTGATATTGACCATCAAGTATCCCCGTGGCTCAACAAAGTATTTGCCACGGCTGCTTCTGGATGGAACAATTTTCAATGTTCTGTCAAGCTGGTTATCAAACAAGATGATGAGATATGTTTTCGTTGATGTATTTGGCTCTGGCAATGCAGCTTGTCTAAATTGTGTGTTTGAATCTAGAATAGCAAAATAGGTTTATGGTTTTATAAACTACTCTATTCACTATCCGTAAATCTAAAGAAAATTACTTTTTACATTGAAAAGATCAACCATTTTCAATGTTATCGCAATCAGAAGGACAGAGGAAAAAATTCAACAACAAGCGCAAAGCTGAGTTAGGGATTATGAATTTAGGTGGTGTTTAGTAAATGGTTGTAAGTCTTAAGGTAGATGTTAAAATAACAAGCAACAAAAATTTTTGGTACAAATGGGGTACGGTACAAACCTTGGGCAGTGATTTCAACATACTGAATGCTCTGTGGATCGTCAGAAGTTGTTACAGTGTATGTTTTATCACCATTGATCATCAAATTGTTACCAGTGTCGTATTCTCTAACTTGAAAATCGTAAGATGGTTTGCCTGTAACACCTCCTTCACCCGCTGGGATTGTTTTCCTTATATCAACACTTTCACCATCCTCAATATCTCTTGATTTTGGGCTATCCGCTTCACTCCAAACTAAGGTCACTTTCTTTCCAGCATGATTTCCAATATGCAAATTGGCAAACAGCTGCCCAGGAATTGTGTTATGGGCATGGCCAGTCATCGCATCTATAAATACAATTAAAAACATAATATCGACTGAGAAAAAAATCAGTGACAAATTTCAAATATAATACAATTTGCTGCATAAACTAAACATTTTTAAAACTCAAAAGGAAAAATTTGGGAGAAAGAACAGGTAAAAAGTAAGACTCACCTCCTTCTCCGATTGTGACAGATACTGGAGATTTTGTCTCTGTTGGTGTCACCATAACAGTTTCCTTGCCATTCATTTTCAAAACGGTTGTGGTTCCTTTCTGGAATGCCTTGAATTCAATTGCACCAGGAGCTGAATTGCTCTGGATTGTCACATCGAATTGTCCTGCGGCTCCTTTTGGAAATTCTTGGCTTTGTTCTTGTCCGTTTACGGTATACTTGATTTGGACATCATTTGGAGATTGGTTGATGACAGAAAGAGTTGCATAGTAGGTCTTTACTTCACCACCAGTAGCACCTGTGGATATCAACGATAGGACCGTCAGAAAAGGGCTACCGAAATAAAGTCCTTAACAAAAGAAAACTATTTGTTCCTTTTCCAGGTAAACTAAAATACCTTTTAATAAAGGACAAATGTAATTAAAAACAAGAAATTCCAAAATACAACTGGCACGTACCTCCTTCTCCGATTGTGACAGATACTGGAGATTTTGTCTCTGTTGGTGTCACCATAACAGTTTCCTTGCCATTCATTTTCAAAACGGTTGTGGTTCCTTTCTGGAATGCCTTGAATTCAATTGCACCAGGAGCTGAATTGCTCTGGATTGTCACATCGAATTGTCCTGCGGCTCCTTTTGGAAATTCTTGGCTTTGTTCTTGTCCGTTTACGGTATACTTGATTTGGACATCATTTGGAGATTGGTTGATGACAGAAAGAGTTGCATAGTAGGTCTTTACTTCACCACCAGTAGCACCTGTGGATATCAACGATAGGACCGTCAGAAAAGGGCTACCGAAATAAAGTCCTTAACAAAAGAAAACTATTTGTTCCTTTTCCAGGTAAACTAAAATACCTTTTAATAAAGGACAAATGTAATTAAAAACAAGAAATTCCAAAATACAACTGGCACGTACCTCCTTCTCCGATTGTGATAGAAACTGGAGATTTTGTCTCTGTTGGTGTCACCATAACACTTTCCTTGCCATTCATTTTCAAAACGGTTGTGGTTCCTTTCTGGAATGCCTTGAACTCAATTGCACCAGGCGCTGAATTGCTCTGGATTGTCACATCGAATTGTCCTGCGGCTCCTTTTGGAAATTCTTGGCTTTGTTCTTGTCCGTTTACGGTATACTTGATTTGCACATCATTTGGAGATTGGTTGATGACAGAAAGAGTTGCATAGTAGGTCTTTACTTCACCACCAGTAGCACCTGTGGATATCAACGATAGGACCGTCAGAAAAGGGCTACCGAAATAAAGTCCTTAACAAAAGAAAACTATTTGTTCCTTTTCCAGGTTAACTAAAATACCTTTTAATAAAGGACAAATGTAATTAAAAACAAGAAATTCCAAAATACAACTGGCACGTACCTCCTTCTCCGATTGTGATAGAAACTGGAGATTTTGTCTCTGTTGGTGTCACCATAACACTTTCCTTGCCATTCATTTTCAAAACGGTTGTGGTTCCTTTCTGGAATGCCTTGAACTCAATTGCACCAGGCGCTGAATTGCTCTGGATTGTCACATCGAATTGTCCTGCGGCTCCTTTTGGAAATTCTTGGCTTTGTTCTTGTCCGTTTACGGTATACTTGATTTGCACATCATTTGGAGATTGGTTGATGACAGAAAGAGTTGCATAGTAGGTCTTTACTTCACCACCAGTAGCACCTGTGGATATCAACGATAGGATCGTCAGAAAAGGGCTACTGAAATAAAGTCCTTAGCAAAAGAAAACTATTTGTTCCTTTTCCAGGTAAACTAAAATACCTTTTCATAAAGGACAAATGTAATTAAAAACAAGAAATTCCAAAATACAACTGGCACGTACCTCCTTCTCCGATTGTGATAGAAACTGGAGATTTTGTCTCTGTTGGTGTCACCATAACACTTTCCTTGCCATTCATTTTCAAAACGGTTGTGGTTCCTTTCTGGAATGCCTTGAATTCAATTGCACCAGGCGCTGAATTGCTCTTGATTGTCACATCGAATTGTCCTGCGGCTCCTTTTGGAAATTCTTGGCTTTGTTCTTGTCCGCTTACGGTATACTTGATTTGGACATCATTTGGAGATTGGTTGATGACAGAAAGAGTTGCATAGTAGGTCTTTACTTCACCACCAGTAGCACCTGTGGATATCAACGATAGGATCGTCAGAAAAGGGCTACTGAAATAAAGTCCTTAGCAGAAGAAAACTATTTGTTCCTTTTCCAGGTAAACTAAAATACCTTTCATTCAATCACAAATGTCATTAAGAACAAGAATTTCTCGAACGCAACTTCCACATACCTCCTTCTCCGATTGTGATAGAAACTGGAGATTTTGTCTCTGTTGGTGTCACCATAACACTTTCCTTGCCATTCATTTTCAAAACGGTTGTGGTTCCTTTCTGGAATGCCTTGAATTCAATTGCACCAGGAGCTGAATTGCTCTGGATTTTCACATCGAATTGTCCTGCGGCTCCTTTTGGAAATTCTTGGCTTTGCTCTTGTCCGTTTACGGTATACTTGATTTGGACATCATTTGGAGATTGGTTGATGACAGAAAGAGTTGCATAGTAGGTCTTTACTTCACCACCAGTAGCACCTGTGGATATCAACGATAGGATCGTCAGAAAAGGGCCACTGAAATAAAGTCCTGAACAAAAGAAATCTATTTGTTCCTTTTCCAGGTAAACTAAAATACCTTTTAATACGACAAATGTCATTAAGAACAAGAAATTCCCGAATGCAACTGGCACGTACCTCCTTCTCCGATTGTGATAGATACTGGAGATTTTGTCTCTGTTGGTGTCACCATAACACTTTCTTTGCCATTCATTTTCAAAACGGTTGTGGTTCCTTTCTGGAATGCCTTGAATTCAATTGCACCAGGCGCTGAATTGCTCTGGATTGTCACATCGAATTGTCCTGCGGCTCCTTTTGGAAATTCTTGGCTTTGTTCTTGTCCGTTTACGGTATACTTGATTTGGACATCATTTGGAGATTGGTTGATGACAGAAAGAGTTGCATAGTAGGTCTTTACTTCACCACCAGTCGCACCTGTGGATATCAACGATAGGATCGTCAGAAAAGGGCTACTGAAATAAAGTCCTTAGCAAAAGAAAACTATTTGTTCCTTTTCCAGGTAAACTAAAATACCTTTTAATAAAGGACAAATGTAATTAAAAACAAGAAATTCCAAAATACAACTGGCACGTACCTCCTTCTCCGATTGTGATAGATACTGGAGATTTTGTCTCTGTTGGTGTCACCATAACACTTTCCTTGCCATTCATTTGCAAAACGGTTGTGGTTCCTTTCTGGAATGCCTTGAATTCAATTGCACCAGGCGCTGAATTGCTCTGGATTGTCACATCGAATTGTCCTGCGGCTCCTTTTGGAAATTCTTGGCTTTGTTCTTGTCCGTTTACGGTATACTTGATTTGCACATCATTTGGAGATTGGTTGATGACAGAAAGAGTTGCATAGTAGGTCTTTACTTCACCACCAGTCGCACCTGTGGATATCAACGATAGGATCGTCAGAAAAGGGCTACTGAAATAAAGTCCTTAGCAAAAGAAAACTATTTGTTCCTTTTCCAGGTAAACTAAAATACCTTTTAATAAAGGACAAATGTAATTAAAAACAAGAAATTCCAAAATACAACTGGCACGTACCTCCTTCTCCGATTGTGATAGATACTGGAGATTTTGTCTCTGTTGGTGTCACCATAACACTTTCCTTGCCATTCATTTGCAAAACGGTTGTGGTTCCTTTCTGGAATGCCTTGAATTCAATTGCACCAGGCGCTGAATTGCTCTGGATTGTCACATCGAATTGTCCTGCGGCTCCTTTTGGAAATTCTTGGCTTTGTTCTTGTCCGTTTACGGTATACTTGATTTGCACATCATTTGGAGATTGGTTGATGACAGAAAGAGTTGCATAGTAGGTCTTTACTTCACCACCAGTAGCACCTGTGGATATCAACGATAGGATCGTCAGAAAAGGGCCACTGAAATAAAGTCCTGAACAAAAGAAAACTATTTGTTCCTTTTCCAGGTAAACTAAAATACCTTTTAATACGACAAATGTCATTAAGAACAAGAAATTCCTGAATGCAACTGGCAAGTACCTCCTTCTCCGATTGTGATAGATACTGGAGATTTTGTCTCTGTTGGTGTCACCATAACACTTTCCTTGCCATTCATTTTCAAAACGGTTGTGGTTCCTTTCTGGAATGCCTTGAATTCAATTGCACCAGGCGCTGAATTGCTCTGGATTGTCACATCGAATTGTCCTGCGGCTCCTTTTGGAAAGTCTTGGCTTTGCTCTTGTCCGTTTACGGTATACTTGATTTGGACATCATTTGGAGATTGGTTGATGACAGAAAGAGTTGCATAGTAGGTCTTTACTTCACCACCAGTAGCACCTTTAATTGAAATAAATTGACTGGTGTATTCTTGAAAATACGTTTTTATTTTACTAAGTTTTATCTCACTAAATTTTATAATGTCCGTATGCGGTGCATAATAAAATGATAATATCGATGGATAATGATAAATTCTATGGCAAAATCAGGATACAAAGGATGTGAAATAGGAAACATGTTTGTACGAATGAATCATGTGTTAATTTGTTATACAAAAATAGTTAAAGTTGCATGATAAGTTGAAATTATCCTTTTAGATACCTACCATCGGACAATGAGACATCAACAGTCTGTTTTATCAATAACAAAGGAACACGCACAAAGCTAGCACCATTCAATTTTATCAAATTCGATGTCCCTCTTTCGTACGCTGTGAATTTGGTGTCGGACTTGTAACAGCAACTTCTTTATTCACAGCGCTGTTTTTCCACACTGTCAATTTTTCTTCCCCAGAGAACCCTGCCCATTTTAATTCCACGTCTTTTGATAGGCTGTTAGTTACGTTGATCGAGAAGTAGTATGTGTTTTGACTGTTTGCGTCTGTAAAAAATGATTGACAATTTAAAATTTCAAATAAACTTTGAGATCAATTCAATGACTGTCATGATAACTATTTTCAGTTCTCTTTATGCTAATGTTGTCGTTGCAGAGTAGCGTTAAAAAAGATAAACAAATTTTACTTTACAGCAGTCAAATCAATCATTGCTCGCAATGGTAGATCTGAGTCTTTCAACGTTTAACGTAGACCAACGAAATACTCACCAGAACCAGGGATAAAAACTGGGATGGTTCTAAGTGACTCTGTTGGCGCAACCTGAATACTGTCTGTTCCGTTAAGCTGCACAACGGTAGCCGTACCTTTCTTGAATGCCTTGAATTCTACCAAGCCCGGTTGAACCTTACTTGTGAACGTCATCATAATGCTTCCTACGGCATACTTTGGAACATCTTCTTCTTTAAGCTGGCCGTTTTCCAAAAATGACAAGGTAACGTCTTCTGGCGATTGGTTGGTTATCGATAGAGAAATGTAGTAGGTCTTTGATGTAGTAGCTTTAGAGAAAGAAAACAAATGACGATAAAATAACCATAAACAACAACAAACGGCCTGATTAACTCTCAGATTCAAAATTTGTATCAAAAACCACTCTTAAAAAAAGTAGGTCTCGCAAAGTCTCGTTCTAGGTGGTAATGCTCCTCCTCCAGCCACTGGACTTATCATAATAGAAAGTACAATCAGAAAGAGAAAAGATATTTATGATTTTCACAGCAGGGCAGGAAGAAATGGTTAAAGCAGATGCATAAACTGCCTAATTTTTGCAATCGAAAAAGTATATTTGATTTACCTGCTCCAATTAAAACTGGTACAGTGACAAGAGTTTCTGTTGGCTTAACAAACAATGAGTCTGTGCTATTTAGCTTGACAACTGTGACAGTGCCTTTCTTAAAAGCTTTGAACTCGATTGCTTTGGGCGTTTCAGAGCTAGTGAAAGACATCATGATGCTGCCAACGGAGTTCTTTGGAACATCTTGCTCCTTCAAGTTTCCATTCTCAAGATAGGATATCGTAACATCGTCTGGTGACTGATTGGTTATGGCAAGCGATACATAATATGTTTTCTGCGTTGGTGTCGAGCCTAAAAAGACAGAATAACTTGAATATCAATTTTGCATGCAAATGGAGGTTATAGCAAATAGCTAAATAGGTTATACCCACATCAAAATGGTACATAAAGGTATTGCCTCACGATAGCAAGTCGAGAGTGCTCGTATTCTATGCTGTCAACATGATGAAATAAGAAGTTTGCCAGCATGCTGTTATCAGAATAATTATTATCAATTACAATAACTATTATCAGAAGATAATTACCGCCATTGAGAACCACGGAATAACTCATAATCTCTTCTGTAGGTTGAACCATCAAGGTATCTTTGCCATTAAGTGTAAGGGCGGTATTCGTTCCCTTTTGAAATGATTTGAATTCCATTTGTGCAGGCTGCTGATAACTGGTCATATTCACCATTAATTCCACCATGTCACCTTTGGAGATGTTAACCTCCTTCATTTGCCCGTTCTCAATATACGACAAAGAAGCATCATTCGGGGATTTGTTCTCAACACTGAGCGACACGTAGTATGTCCTGCTTTGAGATGGATTTCCTGTTGAAGAAAACAAAGATCACTCCTTATTGTGTGTTATTGTTAGAAATTTAGCTAATATCGTACATTGCATCTCAGATCCTCTCATTTAATTTGAATAATCATCAACGACCATAGTAAAATGTAGTTGTTATGAATAAAAGCAGTAGCATATTTTTATTTGATTGACTATCAGGAATTGTAAAAAGGGAAGGAATGAATCAGTTAAACGAAATAAAATTACCATCTGTAATCTGTAGGAATGTGGGCTGCTTTATCAAGGACAATGGCACATTTACATTATCGATGCCGTTGAGCATCATAACGTTGTTGGTTCCCTTTTCATATGCGTATAAAGTGAATGGTTGTGGCAATGATGAGCTGGTTACGACAACTTCTTTTGCAACATTCGCGCTTTTCCAGACGGTCAACTGCTCTGGTCCTGAGATGCCTTGCCACTTGAGCTCAGCATCTTTACTGGCGGAATTCGTTACATTTATTGAGAAGTAGTATGTTTTCTGACTTGAAGTATCTAGAAAATTCAACATAAAAATACCATATGTCAGCCTTATTATAGACCTATACGATAAAACCATAGGTAATGTCAACACGACTTATTTATTGTAGGAACGAACGCATCAGACAGAAACTGGACCGGCGTTAATTACCTTGAGCAGAAACCACGATTTCTGTAGTAACTTTGGTAGTTGTTGGGTTCACCAGGACAGACTCTTTATTGTTTATTCTAACTGGAATATTTGTTGTCTTATCGAAAGCCTTAATTTCAACTGTAGCCGGCTGAACATTGGTAGCAAAGATGATCTCTTTGGTGACAATTTGTCCGGCTAGGACTTCGAGCTCTTCTGGTCCTTGCGGTCCTTGGTATCTGAGAACCGTATCCTTGGCACCTGTTCCGGTATTTTGCACGCGAAGTGCAAGGTAGAATACGGAACTTGGAACAGTTGTCGTTCCTGAAAAATAATAAAAAATAGAGAATTAATTTGCATAAATAAAGGAGCATGATAAAAACCTATGAAAATGGATAATATAATGTAGGAGATACTCAAATAGTTCTAAAGGTGGCCTTATCAGATATCTTCAAACAAAAGTACATTTCATCTCAGAAGTGGCATGGATTAATCAAGGTAGAGAAAATCCTGCAGCAACAACCACAGGATAGAAAATACACAGCCATGTATTACAAAACCTGCCTTTTATTGAAACTCGCCCTTACCTTGACCAATGTTGATAGTAGCGATCTCGCTGGTTTCCTTTGGTGTCACTGTGAATTTCTCTACATTATTCAGCAGCAAAGGTTGGTTCGTTTCTTTGTCCTTTGCAGATACCTCAATGTTTGCTGGCTGCGCTGAAGCCGTGAAGACGGTTCTCTCTTCATGGGTTCCCTGACCCACTTCGACTTGCTTTGGCTTGCCTTCAAGATCTACCCAACTTACAACGGCTACATTACTTCCAGAATTGACGATGTTCATATTCAGGTAGAAGACTTTCAAGGGTTGTTCTAAAATCAAGAAGAATGTCATGATAAAGAAAGATTCCACAAGGTAAAAACGTGCAAACAAAGAAATACAAACGCATATCGCAGCTGCATGCACAAACAAAAAACGGCAAAAATACCCAAACAGAACAAAGCCTTGTCCTCATTAATCAAGAGGTGCATAGAAGCCAACTATACGAAACATACCTTCACCGATTTTTATCGTGACCATTTCCCTACTGTCTTTCGGAGTTACAGTGACTGATGCTTTGAAATCAAGCAACAGCTGCGCATTCATTTCTTTCGAGATTGCAGTTATATTAACGGGGGTTGGAGGCATAGCTGAAGAGAACACGGACTCGTGGATCTTTTGTGAGTTCGGGAGAATATCCAAGTAAACTTTGCGTCCATCTTGCTCTGTCCATTCTACCATTGCAGTTTGTTTTTCGTTATTGATAAATGTGAGGCTCAAGTAGTAAACCTTCGGGGTGGCCGTAGCACCTAGAAACAGGGTTCATGATTGAATTATGACTGGTTTCAACCCTATTGGCTTTCTGGTTAATTTTACAAATAGCCATTCTGGTCACAGAATAGTATATATCTATAAGACTGAGCTTTTCTTTTAAACACTTCTATATTCGTTGCTTAGATCTAGCGAAATGTGAACCGTAAATTTAAATGTCTCACTAACTATAGGTGAGAAATCATTATTGCATTATGTGCGTATAATTCAAAACAAACCTTCTTTGCTAATGATAATTCTGTAAATCGACTGGCTAGATTCGCTTGGCATGACAGATAGTTCTGACTTTCCATTTAACAGCAGCATGTCTCCACTCTGCGTTTCATGGACCCTGTATACCAAAGCATCAGGTGGCACTACAGTAACTATGGAATATTTGACATAGCCAACACCTCCAGCAGGAAGATCGATAGACTCCTTGCCGTCTTTGTATTTAACTGAAACTGCTATGCCAGCCTGGTTGATGACTTCTAAATTCATGTAGTAAGTCTTTGGTCCCGCAGGCTTCCCTGAAGCTGATATAAGATATAAAGACATGAGAAATTCTGTCTTCAATAACTCTTGTTCTTAACCTTAATGCTTGAGAATCCACAAAAAATATTGATAAACAGAGCTACGATTCCTTCAGTTGTGTAGAAAAAACAAAGAGACCCAAAGAATACATACTTATTCTTCAAAGCAACAAAAGCAAAAACAACATGTAACTAATTACAAATGTAAGGATGATAAATTAAAGTCTGTAGAAATTTTCAGGTTTTCTTAAACGCATTAAATGGTCTCAATGAAACAATGTTCTCTTAATCAGACAATTTGTTTGTGGATTTCTAAGTTAGACGAGAAAGTACGCACATATCCAGCTTTGGTATTAAATGCATTCAATACTTACGAGAATCAGTAATATAAACCATATGCATAGGACCAGGGGCTCCAATCGAAGGCGTGAAATTGTACTTCGGATTACCATTCAAGTAAAACTCATCTCTTGTGTTCATCTTTACTGCGCTAATGAGATAGCTTGGGCTAACTGTGGTTCGCAGTATTGCACGCATCCGATAAGGATCACCAAGCAAGACAATTCTGTCTCTTGTGAAGCCGAATTCGTCGTAAAGAAGTGTCGCATTTCCACTGGCGTTATTCACAAACATTATGTCAACGTAGAACTCTTGCATGTCTCCTCCTTTTTCGCCTGTATGTAGATGATTTGGTGTAAAGAATCTTAAATTTACATAGGGCAAAACTTTATTACATTATGCTTAAGATCTAGTTATTGATAAGTCAAGCAATATTCATTAAATATTCACAACAGTTCATAAAATATATGTTTACTAATTTCGCCTCAAAATCGTCAGCAATATTAAGCATAAAGTATTAAGAAATTTTATTTCTTGTAACTGATTATTTTCTTATGGTTTTATAATACTTGATAGTCAATCAATTTAAATTAGAAAATATTTTCTTCGAAAGAAAATTGACATCTACTTAATCGATTAACTTGCTTGTGTTTTTCAAAAGTCAACTAGAAAACTAACGTCGTATAAAAAGCCAAACTGATTTCTTTGATATACGGTTTAATGTGGTATTCAATTAGCACGCAATTGTAAATAATAAGTCACCTTTGTTGCCAACTATGTACAAATTATAGTCAATCTTCTTTGCTGTTGGTTCGACAATAATTTTTTCTATTCCATTGATAAATAGGGGAGAATTGTCATTGACATTAATAGCAGTGACTGTGTAATTAGCAGGTTTTCCATTGACCATATCAATTTTAGGGGAAACCTCTTCAACCATGTTTAATCCAACTCTCTCGTTGTACGATCCTACGCCATCAGAGTAGTAGATATTGGCTAGAACGTTGGCGTGGTTTATGATTCGTAGACGAAGATAGTATTTTTCTGGTTCTGTTTCTGTAAATAAATCAAAACTCTTTAATCAAGAATGGGAAATATACTCGAAAATCTTTTCTGCGTTTTTAAGGATAAAATTTCTGCTATCAAAGAACCATGAATGAGAAGCATTGAAGTACTGACATTAATGTGTGAATTTGCAGTTATCTAAAAATAAAACCTCCTGTTAAAGGCTTACATAAAAAAGTAGTATGAAAAACAATTGGTTGTTTTAGGGACTCATTCAAAGCTATGCATGGGCAAATGCTGCCTTTTCCTTCAAAAACATCTTAAAGTATCATTAGAAGAAAATGTCTTAAAGGGAGACAAGAAAATGTTGTTGAATGCATTCGAAATTGCTTTTAGCCATTGACCCTTGCTATCTTAATTTTGTTTACATTCACTTAGCTATTACCTATCATCGCCTAAGTATAAAGTAGCAAATCAAATGAAAGTAGAAGTGCTTTTCAAAAGGCAAGAAGACAAAAAGAAATAAGAAAGCATACTAGGACAGTCGGCCAATTTACACGTCTGCATTTCCATAGCCCCTCCAAAGCCTTGCTCAATGCATGTCCTGCCTCCATTTTCGGGTGATGGCGAGTTACATAACCTCGTTCTGGTTTTGAAGCCATCACCACATGTTATGCTGCAAGCTGACCACGAGGTCCATTGCGAATAGTCTCCGTCAACTGCAAAAGATACAACGTATTTCATACTTTGATATCACAACTTTTCAAAGTAATGGCAACTGTTATAAAGATGGTCAGAAAAAGGGGCCTGTTATAAGGACTGAAAGAAGTCAAGTTTAAGTGAAAATGATATTGAAATTAGTAATCACAATATACAGTTTCACTTTTGATAAATCATTAGCTAAATTTTAAAGGCAATTTATGTCAAGAAAATGATATGAGAACAGCTTATCAACAATACCTGCAGGAGGGCATACAGATTCCTCTCTGTAAGAATCGAGGTCTGGTCCAGTAACACCACCTAGGATAACAATGACCCATTTAAATATTTCAAAATATCAATGACACATTTCAGTGAATACCAGAAAATGCTATTTCAATATTTTATTTATAAGAATAAGATATATAGTATTAGACATGTATTGGTATATTTACGACACCTGCTAAAAGTTTCTAGGGTACTAAATGATATTCTCCATTTTGTATTTTACATACAATTTGGAAATCCCTACCAACGCATGAGCACGTCAACAAAGCATGATAAAATCAAGCCCGTCATTATCAAAGAACATCATCAATTTCTAAGGGCGAGAAAATATACTGTTTAAAGTGGCAGTAGAGTTGCAAAATTGTAGCTGTTAGTACAAATGAGCATTCATATAAAATTGATATTAAATAAACTTACTTGACGAGCAGACAGCACTTGTAATATTGTTTGGCTGGGAAGTGGCACTTAAAGTGATATAGGCATCTTTGTTAATAAGGTCTGACACATTGGTTCCATAACGTACGACAAACAGCTTGTAAACAGGCGGTGGAACCATGTATGTCAGTACTTTGTACCTGAGCTGAGCTGTAGTACCATCGGCAATGTCAAATTCAATGATGTCATCACGCCAAACTAAGGACACTCTTCTTCCTGCCCTGTTAGTGATGTCAGCATTAATGAAGAACTGTTGAGGAACTTGTAACACGCTGTTTCCTGAAAATACAAGACATGAACCATCAGAATGCATAGGTGGAAAAGTTAGTTTTATTTTTCAATGATGGTAAGATAAACAAAGATTGGTCAGAACAAGGGGCAATTTATCCACCTCAGTAATCATATTTCTATTAACACTTTGAGGGTTATTTGATATTTCATACTGAAAGGAAACTAAAGATGCTTTTAGCACATAGCAAAACGCTAAGCGACCAAATACACAACTTCTATCATGAATTTCAAGTTGCACGTTCTTTCTTGCGGGCAGACATCTTAGAAGCATATCACTTACTTTCAGCTGTAACTGGTAGGACAATCAGCATGTTTTCCTCGGCCATTGGCTTCAAAACGAATTCTTGCTGACCAGCAATCAAGAAATTCATTCCACCGCCTTTAATTTCAGCCTTAATTGTGAACTGCAGCTCACTGGTTGCCCGAAACACACGATACCAGTCTAAGATATCGTCAGGTGCCAAGTTGATTTTCTCATTCCATCCAAATTCAGAGTAGGTAATAACGATATCAGCACCAACTTTATTCACAATTTGGTAATTGAATGTGAATTTTTTCAGTTCGGTTTGAGCAAGGTTGTCTAAAAAAACAAACACATTTACTGGAAGTCGACAAAAATTTAGAAAATTCTGCAACGACAGCAACTTGGGTGTAAAGAAGGCACAGTATCAGTCTTATGTTTACAGTTATTTCATAGATTGGGGTCCTTATTAGTTGCAGTTGTGGGTGCATCACCCAAGTGACAAATTACCAGTAGGGTTACCCTGGCTAAAACAACTAGCATAAAATCCTTCTTCAATCGAAATACATAAAAAGAAACTCGTTGTTTGTACCTTTTGTTGCAGACAATTCGAGGATAGTGAATTCTTCCCTTGAGGTAGACGGCATAACTTCGGCGTCTCCTTCATCACCGTTGATAATCAATGGAGATCGATCTTCGTATCTCAAAGCTTTGAAAAGAACGCCTGGAGGTTGAGGCACAGATGTACGTAACTCATTTCTGACACGCATGATGGAATTGATTTGTAGAATTTGGGACTTCTTGTCACTTCCTATTGTCCACTCTAGGATAATCTTCGTTTCATTGCTGACTACTTCAACGTTGTAATAGAATATGTTTATCATGGGTAAAGGAGCTGATACATTGACAACACCTGCAAGAAGGAAGTAATGGAATCAAGATATGCAAAAAGATTAAGAGAAGTAAAGAGAGTGTAGAATTAAGCATTGATAAGCAAAACATCATTAGTAAACTTGAAAAAAACATAGCTCATTATGAAAAAGAACTTTCAGTGAATTGGCGGAGTGGCCGATTGAATAGCCAATAATGTCTCCATAAGAAAAATTGAATAGAAACGTTTGTATCATTCAAGATGTATTAAATGAGCACCGCAGAACTCCGTACGATTTTCAAAGCTGATGACTCCCATTAACAAACAAAGGCTCGTGCAACTAGTTTTGACATAAGCGAGTGTTAGAAAAAAAATAATTACCTTTAGGCTCTCTCATCCAATACCAGATAACATGTGGACTGCTTGAGGCACCTTCTATCCACAATGCTGGCGAATGTGAGCTGTTTCTCGACACAAGTGTGCCATACTGACTAATACCTGGGTTTGCGGAAGTTGTCAGGACTGTATTAGTATCACTGAGTGTCAAGTAAGGCATTCGTTCTCGCAGGCTCGAAGTGATGTAATTCCATTGACTAAATTTCTTTACTAAGACTATATCAGTTTGGTTGTTGAATGTACTAACAAAGCTGCGAAAAAAATGATGTCTTTAAATTTGACAAAGAGATGAAAATTTCAAATCATCATGCTTGCTTCGCTAAGAAAACTGCATAAAACAACTTGCATAACGGTTGAAGCAATGTTTACATCAACGGACAACATAAGGGTACTCTTTTTGAAAAAAGATATATAGATGAACCTTTATCAAAAGCAGTAATGTAATTTTGAATACAAATGCTAGTTTTAACGTATGTTTCTCTTAAAGGAGTGATAGAATGAGATATTACCTGTAAGAGGCAGGCACTCTCCAGATTCCACCATACTGTTGGCTGTTGCCACCCTCGAGTCTAATTTCATATTCCCCATCAACAATTGACTTGACTTTGTCTCCGTAACCAAGAATTGAAAAGTCTTGGTTGAGCGCAGGAGTCTCCGAAGATCTGGGAATAAACACGAATTATTCAAGCAATCTAAGTTATCATTAAAATGCTTTTACATTTTAACTGAGCACAAAATAAGGTATTCATTGCAAATGGAAACATAAGTCAGAGCATATGGTATTTGTTTAGAGAAAATTGTTTAATATAAACAGCCAAACAATATTTACTAAATGTAATATCATCATTCAAAGGCAAGGTAACTGATTAAAAGATGCAATCCTTTAGGTACCCAAGGAAGCAGCGTTGTTGCACGAATGTAAGAATGCACTGAGCTTATAGTGAGCTACAATAACTGTATTGCAGTTTGTAGCGTATTTCGAGTAACGTTACCTGTTGTAAATATTCTCATTTGTCCAACCAAGAGCAGTCTTGCTTGTCAACAGAAGAGTCCAACCACCACCATTATATGTCATATCGCAGAAGGTCTTGAAAGGACTATCACCATCGGTATCTTGCAACTGATATATTCCACTACGGCGTCGAGAGCATCGGTCGTAGAATTCACGACATGAGCGTATTGGCACGGCTGCAATGGCGACAAAAAGAAATGTTATAATTTCAAAAGCTTCTGATATACAAGTACATGCAAAATTATAGATAATCTCATCCCCATTACATAGATTCATTCTTAGTTACTCACCAGGAGGCGGTGCCGCTGTTGGAATTACAGGAGGCTCTTCGGTTGTTAAATTGCCTGGTGTTGTTGTTGCAGCAGGTGTCGTTTCTGGAATCGCGGTTGTACTGGGTGTTGTTGCTGATTTGGTTGTTGATGCTGTACTCGACGTTGTTGACGGTGGTGTTGTTGTTTCTACCTTTGCAGTTGTTGTAGCTGCTGTTGATGGAGTTGTAGCTGCTGTTGATGGAGTTGTAGTTGCAGCCGTTGACGGAGTTGTGGTTGCAGCCGTTGACGGAGTTGTAGTTGCAGCCGTTGACGGAGTTGTAGTTGCAGCCGTTGACGGAGTTGTAGTTGCAGCCGTTGATGGAGTTGTTGCCGTAGTAATTGTAGTCATAGGTGTTGTTGAGAAAGATCCAGTTGTTGCGTTTGCTGCTGCGGTTGAGGCTGATGTTGTGGGTGTTGCAGTTGTGGTAATAAGAGGTTCCTCTGTGCTTACTGTTGTTTGAATGGTTCCGTTTGTTGTAGTTGTTCCTGGACTAACTGTTGTTGTTACAACTGTTGTATCGGGTATGGTGGTAGTATCCTCAATTGTAGTGGTCGTTACGGTATATGGAGTGGTTGAGACAACGGTTGTAGGGGTCGTAACATTGGTAGCAGGGGCTTTTGTTGTGGCAGGAATTACAGTCGTTACGTTACTGATCGGCTTGCCAGTGGAAACAGTTGTGCTAATAGTTGGCTTTGTCGTCCACTCCGTTGAAACTGTTGTAGTTATTACGGTGGTTGTTGGTGTTGTCTCATCTATTATGTGCGTTGTAGTTTCAGAAACTTTTGCTGTGGAAACAAATATAAAAATTATTAAAAGATAAATTGCAACAAAATAAAAAAAGCTATGTGTTGGATAACAAGATACTTTTTACTTCATCCATACAACCTTGCGATCTTGCTTGATACTCGTCATAATTTGGAACTTGACAAGGAATAACAATTATGCGTTGTGACTTCAATTTACATTGTGTAAAATTATATATTAAGAAAATAAGGTTACAATGGATGCAAAAAAGATGTGATTTTACTTTCGTTATATCAAATTATTTTACTTAGCTATATAAATCAAAGAAATTCTTACTTGAACCAGTCGTCGCTGCAGGTGTTGTTGATGCTGTTGTTAGGGTTGTTAATGTGGTAGGTGGGGTCTGTGTTGTAGTCATTCCTTGGGTTGTTGGAGTCGTGTAATTGCTAGTTGCTTTTGTGCTGATTGGAGTAGTATAATTGCTAGTTGCTTTTGTAGTTGGTGCCTGTGTTGTTGAGGCACCTTTACAGTTCGCACAAGGCTTTTTCAGTCCCCATTTTGGAGATGGTATACCTGTAAAGTGAATTTCTGCATTAGTTTTGCTGGCATAAGAGCGTGCTAGATAAAGAATTTTTATACAGAAGAAAAGCTAGGCTAGATAAATTCTTAACTTCGATTTAAATCGTTTGAAACAACATAGCGCTAATTTAAACCTAAGCAGCATAGAGCTTAATTCTTGCTTAATTCTGACAATACCATCGAATTCTGTTCAGTTTGAATACTGATAGGTAACCGAAGACAATTAAGTAAATAGGTAATGTAGCTTAAATCGAACAGTTTCCATACCGTATACGCAGGACTGAGCCAGATTCAATATCTCAGGATGCGACAATGCCTTGGTGTAGATATAGAACTCATCTATAATTCCTTGGAGTTCCATTACACCTGTTTCGTCTCCTATTACTGCAGCTTTGCTCCAATTTTGTGACAAGATACCTGCTCCAGTCTCGGAATGAATGAACTTACTGTTCACATACACTTTTGCTTTTCCTTGAAAACAGAAACATATTATTTTGAATGCATCAAAGCAATGCAGTATGAGAGTTGTAACATCATCCCGACACAACCAAATTGGCAATTAAGATAAATAGCACTGAGTAGATGCAAAATTGAGATATAGTAATTTTTTCATAAATTTTCAAATTTTTCATTCACTTTTCTCACTGAGTAAATATGCTTCTTTATCTAAATTTCAAGCAAGAGTTTTGAATAAATAAAGAGTTTTCGATATACAAATAACCTGGAATCCCAACAATCAGTTAATTGAAAAATCAAACATAGCTTACGATATCGTGCCACTCACCTTCGACTGCATCGTACGTTGCTGCAACATGTGCCCATTTATCCGGCTGAAGGTACTCGTTAAGAGTTACAAGCCTGAAAATGATGTTGTTATCATCCCCGATGTGAGACCAGACAATCTTGCCATCTTCACTGGCAAGGTTATACTGTCCACCACCAACAGTGTAGAAAATCGACTGCCTTCCTTTAGATGATTTAAGCTTTACCCAGACAGCTATACTAACTGCTGATTTTGGCTTTGGGGCAAATTTCTCGCCATCAAATTCAATCTGGCCTCCTATAAGCCTTTCTGCCATGCCACAGCTATGGTTTGCTACCATTCTGGTTGCAGAGCCACTTGGACGAGCGTTGTTCTCATGGCCTGACGTGTCAAGCAGCAAATCACCCTCAAATTGGTCGAATTCCAGGTGAACTGCAAGATCCTTCTTCGAAGGTGGGTTGTACGCAGTTTGCTTTCTCAGCTGTGCCATGTTTAATGGTGGATTTGGTATCAAACCTCTTCTTCGTGCTCTGGCGGTGTTATTTTGTCTGAGGTGAGGACCTGGTGGAACCAGTGCAATTACCTTGTCTCCGCTATAGACAGGTACCAACTTTTTTCCAGCAACTTCCTTCACATAACGATAAGGTGGAAATACCTGTTTTGCATCATAACCAGTAGCTTTTCCTTGGCTGTCTACACCTGTTGGCACAAACAGTTTCATTTTACCAGCATATAGTTTTGGCTGTGACCCAGCGTCATCATAATACTTCAATGGCCTAGCTAACAAAGCTGGTGGTAGTGTAGGAAAGTCTTTTGTAGTTGGAAGCAGAGCTGTTGTTTTAGGGGATAGCGGAGACGGCTTAAGATTAGGTGGAGTTGGGGTAAAGCCAAGTTGTTGTAGGGATTGAGTGGGTACTTTTAATTGTGTGGGTTTATTTTGCTTTGTATATAAAGGATTTTGCGATTGTGTAGCTTGGTAAACGTTGAGGTCACTTGCAGGTAAAGGCTTTCCAGTAGGGCTATTAAAAGGTATACCAGAGGGTTGTGTTGCAGGACGTTGTTGGTTCACAACACTAGTTTGGGACCCCGATTGAGCAACCTGCTTTGACTGCAAAGGAAGAGCTGCATATTGAGACGGGTTTTGGGAAGCTGGTTTATTGGATGGAAAAGCCGCTGTTAGGAGCTGGGCAGCAGAAGCAGATAAAGTCTTCGAAGCAGGTATTCGAGGGCTTAGTGGCGAGGCTGGCAGAGGCTGATACTGGCCTCTGGGAATTGTTTCAGTATCTTTAGCACCCCCAATCAGTGAAAAGGCTGCATTTTTAATGCCCTTTAATGCACTTTCGGGCAGTTTAAAGAAGGCAGCATGTGTAGCATACCCTTTGAAAAAACGTTCTTGGTTATCAAAATAGTCTTTTTTTGGCGGAGATGAGTCTAAATTAAAGGAATTAGTGTCACCTAAAATGATTTTTCTTCTAGATAAAATACTATTACGTTGACTAGGTTTTAAAGAAGACCCGGATCCCGAATAGATTCTGCCACTTCGAGTTACTTCGAGTGAATCTTTTGTGTTATTAAGTATGCTTTCTGCTGCAAAGCTCTTGTGTCCACTGATTCCTTGCGATTTGTAGAGAAGTAAATCTTTGAGCGTATTAGTTTTTTGTAGACCAGTTCTATCTAATAAATCCTTCGCAGTGCCAGGGTTCTTTATGCTTCGCAATCCTGACAAGGAAAAACGACCGCCGTAAAAGAGCAGCGGTGAATTATGAATGGCCTAGATCACTAAGAATTCCAAGCATGAATTCTGGCCTGGAAGTGAGGGGCAGGGACGGCAGAGACAAACTTTTCGTTGTATTTGTTTTAAGAAAAGAAAGGGTAGAAAAAATGACGTACATTTGACAAAGCGGAAATGTAGTATTTAGCATATTCACATTAACGGAATTATATTCAAATTTGGTTACTGAAACATTAGTTGAAGATGACAACAAGACAAGATGTAACGATTTAAGATATACCTAACAACGATAACCATCCAAATATGTACTCAAAAGAGAAATCCCAATACCTTTGATGCTATTAATTAAGTTCTATATACTCGATCCTATCAATAAAATTTCAAAATTGTTCCTACTTTAAAAATTGTAACCTTTTAGGTGAGTATACCCATTAAAAGATTATAATTTGGCATTCTTTGTATCATTAGCATCATACGATCAAAATCGATAACAGAGGTAAGCTGAGCCTCTGTACTTACCTAAAGCCTCGATAACAGACAGCGATTCAGCTATAGGAAATACAGCGCTATTTGAAGCACGTTGAATGGCCTCTTGCAGTGGCGTGACTGGGTCTGCAACGGGCTCTGCAAAGTTAATCTTAATCAGCACATTCGTGTAATGTGTTTGTTGTACGTGCTGGGGTTCAATACGCGGGCTGGAATGAATTAAAAAAGCAGTTCAGTTAAATATCATAATTTGATAATTAACACATGGCACACATTGCTGAACACAAACGAAAGAAAGAGAAAACAGAAAATCAGTAAATTCATCATTAACTATCTCACCTGTATGCAACAAGATCGGTAGACACCAATGTTTCTGGAGTTTGGTAAACCGAATTCGCAAGCTGAAAAGACCATAGTTTACAACGTTATTTGACAAACAGAAAAGATAAAAAATGAAATTATGGCTTCATTATAGCCGCATGTATCACAAAAAGAGTATATAAAGCCCATTTTAGTTACAATTCAAAGATCATCGTTATGTCCAAATGCAAAATTAGTATATTGTGAAAATAATTAAAGTAACGAACCCAGTTATTGATTTCAATCCATAAATCAGTGTAATCTTGAGTGTCATTTTCCTTCAGTCTTCCTGTCCATCCCTTGATGATGCCAAATTCGACAACTATTGTCGAGCAAGGGCAGTTTACTGTAATAAAGATATTTAAAAGCATTATACAACGAACCATTACTAAGTCAAAAGCTAAACTATGTTTGGGGACACTTTTATAATCAAGACTCAGTCATGTTGTATTTTGGTCATTTGCAACAAAGAGAGTATTTTTGCTGCAAAGCAATATTGTTTCACCCAGTAGAAACCGTATTTTGAAGAGTACTTAAACATAAACAGCTGTCATAAACAACAATAATAACAACAGCCACAACAACAGAAGAAAATTGAAGAATGGAAATGTGACGAAAGAAAAAGATTATTGCTCGTGCTTTTTAGTCTTTAAAATGTCAACAGACTGCCAAATTGATTTCTAAAATGCAGAAAACAGACGAAATGATATTTTACCTTCAGGGCAGCCTTGGCTGTCAGGACCTTCTGCAGCTCTCTTGCCATCCAGGCAACACCCATACCTTGTTCCAGCACAACCCCCGACAATGATGCCAGGGTAAGGCTGTCCCTCGTGAGTGTTAGTTGTGTTGTAGTCAACAGCGGGTGGAAGCTCTGCAGCAGGACTCACACCTTCGATAAAAAGTTTAACTCTGATATCAAACGCTGTTAAATTCAGAATCAAAGATGGGTTTAAACAAAGATTAATTAAATACAAAGATAATATTAAAATCTATTCACATAGATCATCATGTTTTACTACAGCAATGATCAACTTTAGTTTACTTAGTTTACTTTAGTTTAATGTGCACCATATCCAGCGGTGATTTGGCAAACAAGAGCCAACTTCATAAGCCTTGATAGCAAAATAGTAACTGTTTCAGTACCTTGTTCGTTGATAACTCTTAGCGAGTTTCTGATTACAGGAACTTCACCAATCATGCCACGTTGAATGGTCTCATTCAAGGTAGGAAGAGGATCTTCAATGGCAGCAATGAAGTGAAGAGTGGCATCGACATGGATGAAATGGGCTTGGTGGGGGTTTTCTGGTCTTGATGGGCTGCAAGAAAAATTTACTCTTCAACTTGGCAATATCACATTGACAACGCAAAAGAAACTAGTAATAAGAAATTTCTATAAATTAAAATAAATTCTTAGCGACTGTCGAAACAGATCAACAACGCACCACATCGAAAAAAGCACCACACAAAATGTGGAAAATAAGGAGTCACTGGTAAATACCTTAGTTCGATGGTTGCTTTGTCATACTGCTCAAAACCGTAGAAAACTTGCATGAACTGTAGGAATGAAAGAAATACATTTAGTAAAATTGGTATGGAGACTGGCAATTTTAAAATAACACGAGAAAAGGGTAATGGCATTGTTATCGATTGGCTGATACCTAAGAGAAAATGAATAAATGATGAAAAAAGTTACTGAAAAAGAATAAAAGAAATGAATCAAAAACTCTTCATTTTCGAAAACTCTCCAAACAAAACAAAATTTTGTCTTTATATTGGAATAAATATGGTTAAAGACTTCAAATATAAAATTAATTAAGAAGAAACTAACCGCTTCGTTCAAGAGCTTGATAACATCAAGTCTTGGTGGGAATGTCGGATCAATCATTTTCGGGTTCCATGTCATGAAGATGTCAAAAGCGATGTTTACTGTTGGGTTCATATCTGATGTTTGATTGGTGCTTGTTTTGTTAGTCGTTTCCGGTGTTGTAGCATTGCTACTTTGTATTACGACATGTTCATTTGGCCTCTCTTGGGAGCTCCCTGTAGATGCTTCACTGCTTGCTATTTGCTTTTGTCCTTTTTGTGCTGAAATATCAGCCTGGACTTGTTCCCCAAATGACTGGAGATCTATGTTATTTGGTGACTTTTCTTGCTGGAATGGCACCTGAACGCGATCCCCGCTGTAAGGGATGGTCGTTTGCGGCTTGTCGGACACTTCCTTCGTCTGAGTGCCCTTTGCATGATCAGCATAGTCCGGTAATGCAGAGCTAGAAATGGGTATTTTTTCAGTACTTGTTACAGTCGATGTCTCATTGACAATGGTTGGCACCATAACTGTTTGTGTCGCTGTGGTTTCATTTGAACCATTTCTGGCCTGCTTCACAGGTACTGAAACCTGGACAATCACACCGTAGCCTAAAAGTTAAAATGTATTATTATTGTCATCCACGCCATTCAAAACAACCTTATTTTACAAAATTGGAAGCCAGCGAGACGAACTTGACACATTGTCATTTTGAGCAAAAATCATTGTAAAGTGCTTCTTCTTGCTAAAGCAAAGAGGATGTAAAGAGGGAATCATTTAAATCGGACAAATCTTACCTAAGAAAGTTGAAAACAACAGCTCGGCTATTTCCTGATTACTTTTCTGATTCCAAAGAGTTCAATTCGAAAGAATGTCAAAACAAAACGAATAAAGAAAAGCAAACTGTCTATTTTCCTCAGCTTACCCATAGCCTTCTTATAAGAATATTATATATTCTAATTAGAGTATTTTATAGTATTTTATTAATAAAATTGAAAATTAAAAAGGCATAAAAGTCTCAAATACCAAATTAAGTGTTGCACACAAGACTTTTGATTCATAAGCTAGCCTAAATGATTCATTACTTTGTAAGTAACGGAAATCGTAGATGCTTTTTAAGGAAAGTGGTATATGAGTTACCTAACTTTAACGTACCTTGCTTACAACGGGTCTCACACTCAAGCATACTCATAAAATTATTAGCATTGCCACCACAGCCAGTGTAAACAAATAACTCGCATTCTTTTGTAACAATATTGAAGTAAAACTTTGTGATATTCAGGCTGCATTTGCCATTCTGTGGTTTGAACGTGCAGAGATTTTCAGACACTGTAAAAAACATTCAATTTGTGATTATACGTCGGGATAAAAACCTCACAAGAAATTTTGAAATAACAAGTTAAAACTATTCAAAAGAATTTTTCAAGGGGCAAAGCTTAGAATTCAAGAAGGGGTGGGCGATCGACTAGAAGATATTGGGTTATTAATCATTAGTATATATTTTTTTAAAAGTGTGGAGATCATGAAAACTCTGATCCTTTAAGCGCAAGCCATATTTTTGGCTTTCAAATCGCATATGATTAGAAAACTCATAACATTTCTAATTTTCGATATGCTGATTAGAATGGCCAGAACAACAGAGGAGTTTAAATAAACAATAGCATTTCTTTAATTCTTATATAAGCAATATCATGAAATCTATGAAAAGAAGTATACTAATGGCTTGATTCTCAAAAAAAGACTGAAATGCTTTGTACTCACCCTTCCTACAATCAGGATGGGAGCCGTCAATCTTCCTTGTACCCAGAATTTCCTGTCCATTCTGATCCACGCACCAGCATTGTTTTCCATAGTACATGTGGGTAAAGCACTGTCTACTGCGATAGCTTCCATCTGCATTGCATTCAGGAATGAAAGTATCGTCTTTTGTGAGTGGAGACAGTGATTGCTGGCGCTCTTTCAAGCAAGGGGGCAGAGCTATAAACAAACATGTTGATCATCAATAAAGGATTATAATGAGACACATAACCAATGGTTTTAACGACAGCTTTGCAAAAGTACTTGTCACTGCCAGTTTATTGCAAACATAAGAAAGCAATGTGTGGTGGAACAAGACATGAGATATTCAGAAGGATTTCTGGATATCAAGATGGACACAATCATTTGTCGTCAAATGACACATCTTTTAACTGTTGTAAGAATCTGACTTCTGCTATCGGATTCGATGTTCTCTTACGCCCTGCATGAACACGTTGCTTGCCAAATTTCAAGTTAAGATTCAATGAGATTCAATGATAGTAGTACATGTAATGACAGTATCAATTAAAAGCGGATTTCTCAATAAGTGAAGTTACCTTTCAGCGGTCGAACCGGCTTTACTCTAGCTATAACAGGTGGCTTTGGAGCTTTAGTTGGCCTGTGATAAAATGCTGTCCAGTAATTGTTTGTACTATTGGCTTTCCTTGTATCTAGACAATGTAGTTCTGTCAATGTTTCATTTGCGCTTCTTGTACCAATAATTTCAAGACCAAGCTTATCGGCGCACCAACACCATTTTCCATAGATCTTATGCTTGTAACATTGAATAGCTTTGTAGGATCCATCAGCATCACACTCTGGAACAACCATATCGAATGAAGTTGGCTGAGATGCTATAATTCTGTCATATTCGCAGCCAGGGTATGGCGCTAAAAACAAAAGGACTCATTAGCATTCCTTGTGATACCTCAAATGAGAAAGACGCCAGATGGTGTCCGATGGATTGGAAATACCTTACCTAAAGTTCTAGCAAGGACATTGTAACAGGAGACGAGTTGTTATTTTGAATAAGCTAAATAGCCTAGCCTGGTAACAAGCAGGAAAGGTATTTACAGCAAAATCGAATAAAATCAGACTTCCAAGTTGAAAAGTTGAAGTTAGACTTTACAGTTACATTCCGTAGAATTTTGCAACAAGGTGAACATAAATCATTGCTAAAGTTACCTTGCATGGTGAGAAGTATCCTCACTATAAAAAATTGGGAAATTGGACGGGGGAAGGAAACAATTCGCTGCTAGAAAGAACATTGACAATACATGCTCATTATACATACATTGACTGGCTGGCCTCTTCTTGCCCCCTGAAATAATTGCTGCAAGACTTGGTTTCTTTGGTACAGCTGTTTCGTTGCTGGTTGTGTCTGATTTAGTCTTGTCAGCTGGGTTTACCAACTTTGAGGTAACGATTGGTTCTTCGTTTCTAAATGGCAGCTTGTTCTCCTTTGGTTCTTGAATCTCTTCTGTAGCATTGTTATCTGCCAATGACTCTAGGATCGATTCTAATGACATATTGGCAGTGTTGTTTTCACCATTCAAGGTTGGAGCTGGTGAAGGAAACTTGGCTACAGCAGGAGCAGGTGAAGGGAAATTGCCTACGACGGGGGCAGGTGATGGGAAACTCGAGGTATTGTTTCCCTGCTGAGGCCCACTGGGATATTTCTGTTGGTATGCAAGTTGTTGCATATTGGTAGATGAAGCAGCTACTAATGTCTGTGAAGATGGTGGCTTTACATTAGACGCATCCGTGAAAAATGGTAAAGACTGGACACCATTATTAGTATCTGAAGTGCTTGGTACAAGTTGGCTGCTTTGGTCGATTGCAACTTGTATTTTCTGCTGTTTATAATGCCCGTAAAGAAGCGATTCACGATATCCTTGGTTGTAATTGCTGGTTGATTGGTTGTTGTATCCTTGATTCTGTTGATCAACATTGGTGTAGTTTGTTGGGGAAGCTGTCGTGAAATTTGTTTGCTCGTATGGAGAAGTGGTGGTAGTTACTGATGGAGAGACTGTTGTATTGAAAACTTCGCTAGAATTGGCATAAAGGCTTTTAGTGGTGGCAGGAGAAGCAGTACTGTTTAAAAATCGCTGACTTGTCGTTTGGATGGTCTCGTTATAGTTTATGTAGGTGGTTGTCGTTGTTTCTTGAACATATGGCGCTTCCGTGTTGTTTATATATGGTACCTTTGTTGTGCTGAAAGGCTGGCTGTTGTTACCGCTGGACATTCCTTCTTGAGAATAATTGGAAGCTGCGTTGTTTGAATAGCCATTGTAGTTGTAATAGGCACTTCCATTGTATTGGTAAGGCGAACTAGTTTGATAGGTTCCCTCTCCTATTTTGCTGTGGTTCCAGTTGGGCCTGGTAGTTGTCTCTTGAATCACAGGTGATTCTGTATTATTCACATAGTCTGGTTTTGCCGTACTGTAATTCTGATTGTAATTAACATAAGGCATTGTGGTTGTAGAAACACCCTCTAGGGATGTCGTTGTATTGACCTTCGAAGTTTCGTTGGCAGATGGTGCCTGCGTGGATACTATGTTGTAATAACTGCTGCTCTGGTTAGCACTGGACACGATGTCTTCAGAAGCAGCTGAAACGGCAGCTGGAACATTCTTTGTACCATTTTCATAGGTCTTTTGATAGTCATAGCTTGGCTTGCTTGCATTAACATATTGATAGTAATTGAAGTAGTTACTGGAAGTGTTTTGATTGTTGGTAATAGGAGTTGCGGAGGAGCTTACATTCCCTGATCCAGTATTGTTCTTAGAAAAAACTTCATTGGTGGCCGGTGTTTGTTCACCGTAAATTTGCTGAAGATAGTTTTCATAAGAATACTTGGATGTATCTGCTGCAGTTGAGGTTGTTCCATTGCCGGAAACATTATACTTGCTAATATTCATTTCATTTGAAGCTTTGGTGCTGTTGTCCTTAGGCTCCTTTATAGAAGCTGAGTCTTGTATCTGCTGCATCTGACTGTCAGTAATTTTACTGTAGTCGAAGAACTGTGACTGCTTGTTATTCTTCCCTAGGTCATTGGAGCCAACTTGTTCCTTGTTAGGGCTTGTTTCTGCGTACGTTTTGTTTGTTGCAGTAACTTTTAAGCTGGCATAGCCACCATCTGAAGCAGTTTTAGTGTTGTTATAAGTCGAGGGAAGCTGCGTTGCATCAGTAGTTTCTTTCAAAGAAGCTGAATTTTGAATTTGCTCCATTTGCTCATTAGTAATTGTGTGGTAATCATAAAACTTCTGTTGTATTTGGCCAGGTGCATTAACTGAAGATGCAGCGGCCCCATATCCACTGTTCTGTGAAGATGCGGCGGCACCATATGAATTGTTCTGTGGAGATGCGGCGACACCATATGAATTGTTCTGGGGAGATGAAGCGGCCCCATATCCACTGTTCTGTGAAGATGCGGCGGCACCATATGAATTGTTCTGTGAAGATGCAGCGGCCCCATATCCACTGTTCTGTGAAGATGCGGCGGCACCATATGAATTGTTCTGGGAAGCTGCAGCGGCCCCATATCCACTGTTCTGTGAAGATGCGGCGGCACCATATGAATTGTTCTGGGAAGAATCAGCGGCCCCATATCCACTGTTCTGTGAAGATGCGGCGGCACCATATGAATTGTTCTGTGAAGATGCAGCGGCCCCATATCCACTGTTCTGTGAAGATGCGGCGGCACCATATGAATTGTTCTGTGAAGATGCAGCGGCCCCATATCCACTGTTCTGTGAAGATGCAGCGGCCCCATATCCACTGTTCTGTGAAGATGCGGCGGCACCATATCCACTGTTCTGTGAAGATGCGGCGGCACCATATGAATTGTTCTGTGAAGATGCAGCGGCCCCATATCCACTGTTCTGTGAAGATGCGGCGGCACCATATCCACTGTTCTGTGAAGATGCAGCGGTCCCATATCCACTGTTCTGTGAAGATGCGGCGGCACCATATGAATTGTTCTGTGAAGATGCAGCAGCACCATATCCACCGTTCTGTGAAGATGCGGCGGCACCATATCCACCGTTCTGTGAAGATGCGGCGGCACCATATCCACCGTTCTGTGAAGATGCGGTTGCACCGTATGAATTATACTGTGAAGCTGCAGCTGCATTGTATCCAGAGTTCTGTAAAGTTGTGGTAGTACCATATCCACTGCTCTTTGAGTATGTACCAGTTTCAGAACCACTGCTTTGTGGTGATATTGCTGTACCATAGCTGGCGTACTGTGAGGATGCATTTGTACCATTGGACAACTCAGTGACATTGGACAATGAGGAATTCGAGGTATTTACTTGTCCAGCAGAGCTTTTTGTCTGGTTTTCGGTGTAAGGGCTTGCTGTTGATACTGTTACAACATAGGGTTCTTTTGTTGTATAGGCACTGTTATCTGGATATGACGTATTATCTCCCTTGCTTGTGTTTCTCTCTGGATAAACATACGGCGGTGTTGTTTGATACGTTTCGTTGGCGTTTTGACTATATGTTGACGTCTGGCTTTGAGTAGGTGTTGTAGGGGTGGTTGAAGGCGTTGTGCTGAGTGACTCGATATAAGACCCTGTTGATTCAGTGCTGCTATTGGATGAAGCTGAAACACTTGTTTCGTAAGAGCTTAATTGTTTTTCCGAATTTTCGGAAGCACTGGTTTGATTATCTTTTGTGGCGGCTGGTGGGTATCCTGCATTTGCTTCACTTGCATTAACTGATTTCTCTTGTGTGTATAGTGAAGTCGTTGGTTGGGTTGTATACATAGTTGTAGGAGCTTGTGTTGTGGTAAGGGCTTTTTCGGCGTTACCTTGTAAGTAATCAGATACTTGTGATGGTTCCGTGTTACTTTCTTGGCCTGTATAACCTTGAGACTTTCCATACTGCTCGTTCTCTCCACTTGGGCTATTTGCTGAACTTTCAACCGATGTTGGCTGTGCGTTGCTTTCAGTTTCACTGTTCTGTGTCCCTGTGTTCTGCCTGATGTTTTGTCCTTGTGTTTCAACATACAAGAGCTTAGCTTGCGTGACTGTGTTTTGCATATAAACAGACGATGAATCCGAGTTAGCTACGGGTGCACCTTGTGTGTCGTCCCCTTGCTGTAAGCTTGTTTTTTCTGTTGACATTTCTTTACCTTTTGAAGACAAGTTCTCATCTAAATTTCTTGCTGCACCGGATTGTTCAATCTTTTGCTGCGAAGGTGCGACGAGAGTCTTCAAATATGAAGAATAGTTGCCAGCAGGGTATGGGATTGGGTCTTTAATGTATGAGCCTTTTAAAGACTGTGTTTTGTTCCCAGTTTGAACCATCATGATTGCTTTGTTATTGCTTTTTTGGACTTTCAATTGATCATCGTGCATTGAACTTGCATTTTCAACATGGTGTTTACCAAATAAATCGTCGTCTGGAATTTGTGGACGTCCCGTAGTAGGCAGAAGTGCGTCTTTTGGTGTCGAAACTGGAGGTGGTGTAAGTGTCTTCTTTAGTAAAGTAAATTGCTGATGGGTTGTCAACGGCTGCTGGGTTGTCAATGGCTGCTGGGTTGTCAATGGCTTCTGGGTTGTCACTATATGAGACGTCTGCCCCGGTTGTGTATTAGCTGGGGGAGTGATTGTCTGTGGTTTAAGTGTTGTAACTGGCCCAGTTCTGACGGTAGGTTGTGGGGGACTTTGTTGAACAGGAGTGCCCGCACTATTGTCATTGAGAAGCTCGTCAAAAAGAGAAGCACCTCCTTGCGGTTGAGGTTGATCCGGAACAGCAGGAGCGCTGGGAAGTGGCGCAGTCTTTGGAACTGTTGGGTCTTCGACTTCTACACTTTGCTTTTGTTCGCCAGATACGTGCATATCGTTGCTGCCATTCGCAAGAATCCTTGAAAGCTGACTAGAAGCATTAGAAGCATAATTTGGTTTTTTATCATCATGAGCAAACTTTCCAAATATTCCATGCTCTAATTGGTGATGAAACTCTGCATCAAAAGGCGTCTTCGTAGTTGGCTGCTGTGTAGGAGGAGTAGCTTCTCCTTGTACACCTTCGGCTGGTTTCTCCTCTGCCGGTTTTTCCTCTGCCGGTTTCTCCTCTGCCGGTTTTTCCTCTGCAGGTTTTTCCTCTGCTGGCTTTTCCTCTGCCGGTTTCTCTTCAGTTGGTTTTTCCTCTGCCGGTTTCTCCTCTGTGGGTTTCTCCTCTGCGGGTTTCTCCTCTGCGGGTTTCTCCTCTGCGGGTTTCTCCTCTGCCGGTTTCTCCTCTGCCGGTTTCTCCTCTGCCGGTTTCTCCTCTGCAGGTTTTTCTTCTGCTGGTTTCTCCTCCGCTGGTTTTTCCTCAGCAGTCTGTTCTCCGGCTCCGTCTTGAGGCGTTCTTTGGACACCAGTTGAGTGCAAATTTGTTCCGGATGTGGTATCGTAGATTGCTGATGGTTTCATTTCGTTTATGCTTGACTCTGATACAACGTTACTTGCAATTTTCTTTGTATCGGTACGCCTATTAGCTGATTCCGCTAGACTACCAAAAGGACTGTTTTCATCCGGTACAACCAAGGCATCTATGTCATCATCTGGAACTTCAGATCTTGTTTGAGACAGTTTTCTATTTCTTACATAATTCACTTTTTCGTCTGAAAATGGAAGGAATAAAAATAATGAACTTTACGAGCAAAAAATGAGGGGATCGCATATTCTTCTGCGTTTGAATGGACATAAATGGTTTAAAAAATTGCTAAAAGCAGGTTCAAGTATAGGGAACAAATCAATAAAATATCAAATGAAACATGTTATCTATCTCTGGAAAATGGGAAAAAATGCAGGATGATATTAATATAATGAAATAGAAGATTAGGTATAAGAAGTAATAAAAAATGTATATATTTATTCTATGGCGCTCTATTTAGCTAGGCAATCAAGGTTGAAGGCATTGGCACCAAATATTTACTTGATGCCTTCAGCCACATCAGGAACTGACTTGATCATAATGCCATCACCAGACTTGATCATATTTGGAGGGGAAGGTTTTCTGAACAACGAATATTCCTTTTAGAGAAAAAACTATGCAACAAAAATCTATACCCGTTAAAGATTCCGAAATGGCTTTTGGATTATCAAACATAACTATATCTTCTCTTTTACTCATTCGCCGCGTGCGATCCAAAGTGTTATCTCTGAAACCTAGAGAAGAGAAAAACAAAATAATTCACTATAGGAAGCAATCAGGTGCGATAGGTGCAAGGTTGTACAGTAAAAAAAGTATTACGGAGAGTGTATGGCAACGAAGTGTAATGTCGCTCAGTTTTTGAGACCCCCTTTATCATTGCAATACCCTGTAAAAAGTCTTAACTTATTCCTAGCCTTCAAAAAGGACAGTTTTAAGAATTGCAACACAGAGGCTTTGAGCGAGAAAAATTATTGGTTTGTGTTGTATATGCAAACATTTTTATCTCATGGAAGTCAGAAGGGTTTTGTTTCGGAGGGTTCGTTTAAAATCATTCTTCGTAGAGAATGCATCACTCCGTTGCAGGACCTTGTAACAGCACTTCGTAGCCAAGTCCAAAATTTGATAAACGGAGGTTTTAATAAAAAGGGGGTCATTGTTTATAAATGATCATTAGAGGACATTTTGAGAATATCGCATCTTTGTCAGGCGTTTCCGTAGATGGAACAGGGGGTAAAAGATGGGTTGAAATGATTTTCGAAAATCCCAAGAAATTAACGGGGGTGGCTGGTCAACCGGACCAAAGGTGGTTATCATGTAATAATTATATCAGATTTCGCAAAGATTATTATCCAGATAAATATACAGACTGAAATGTAAACGTGATGCTTGATGAACAGGTTATATAAGAAGAAAACCAATGATCACAATAGGTGGTCATGATAACTGGTGCCTGCATTTTCTGATCTTAATAAGAATAAATATTTAAAAGATCATAGATCGCTATTTCACCAGGACGATAGCGAGGTTCAGTTTCAGGACGAGGCAATCAACTATTTGGCGTGTAATCGACAGCGCTAGAAAAATAAGGCATGATATAAACTTGAAAGTAATTTTCTTACCTCCTGGAATTCTATATGAAACTGCATAGTTAGTAAAAAATGATAAAACCAGGTATAAAGTTACTCTGGTTACGAAATCCATGTTTCAGTCCTACTGGGTTTCCAAGCCAATATGCGGCTATACAATCTAGAAATGAAAAAAGTAATTTCAATATACAGATATACATTGTGTATCGACTCTCATCTGTTGTCTTAGATCTAGAAAGGTAAGGGACATCTGTTAGGCAATAGAATAAATTTGCTTTCTGTCCAGATTTTGTGCGTGTGACGTCACATTGATGAAGTCTTTTTCTCAAAGGCAGTGTAATTTTGACGGAAATTGTTTGAAAAATTACTCGGAATGTTTTCAAAATTTCAAAAACCCAACTGTTTTTGCTAATATTGCTAAAAAATTACTTTTCTGAAAGTAGCTGCATTATGTAACTCTAAATCCTATTTTGAGAAATGTATCCCTTCTTTGAGACCAGATGGAAAACCAGATGGTGTACAGCAAAAAGACCCTGTTTGACTATCAAGTAATAAATAAAGAAAATTTATATGATATTGTATCTATTTTAGAAATTTTCTTTCCTTAACCGGTAGGTAGTACATGGCTCAACCGGAAAGAGAAGTCGATCATTGAACATATCTAAAGTATTTCATTCCCAAGAAAGCTGTCTTTAAGAATGGCTGAGACAAGGGTAGAAGCAAGTTAGCAAGGGGGTTCTAAATGTTTGGGTACAAGAAAAGGAAACAAACTTTGGAAATGAAAAACTGTATATCTGAATTGTGAACTATAAAAAGTTGTGATATTATGAGCTGTAAAAACTTTTGAGTTGTTTAGAAAAATATTTATAATATAGTTTTAGGATTATCTGTCAATTCTGAAGAAGTTTGGGTATTCTTGGAGATGAGGCAAAAAGAAATTCAAATGAAGAAATGGAAAACATCACATCGTATTGGTCCTGGATTGAAAATGAAATTTTAAGTGTAATAGACTTCCTGTCTGATTCCTTCAAATCCATGTGTGAGAATCAAAAACATTTTTTGGTTGGCGTATGAAACATTTTAATTCCTTCTTGTCCTCGTCACAGGATATATTTTGAACGTTATAATACATCCGTTACTGACATCTTATCCTGTTTCACTAAATGTCATCTCCCTAACTGTACATTGAAACTCTTAAACGTCAGTTCATTATTGAGGAGCAAGGAGCAAAAATAAAATACAACCCAATAAATACATTTTGATGCAGTGCTGAACGCCGATAAAGATAGCCTGCATAAAACTAACGGACATAAAACAATTTTCCATAATACCAAATATTGACACAAAATTCACAGTTTAATTGTAAACCTAACTTACATTAGAGTACTTTTCCTGTCTACACATTACCGAGCCAAGCAGTTATGTCGCAGTCTATTGCCGTTGCTAGATATCATCAAAAGGAGCTCAAGGAAACGATCGTTTCCATTCAATCGCAAATCCATTATCATAATAATATTTAAGAAATTTCATGCTTTATGTAAGTCTCTACAGATTTTGAGAAAGGTTGAGTCCTTCTTTAGCAACGTGGCTTATTTTCGGTATAGCTAGCCGGATATTGTCCCATTAGGATCTGCATCGAGCGGAAAAGCCATAAAAGAAAACTAAACAAGGAATGTCTTTTTCCAATCATTAAACATTTGACCTAATATTTAAGCCAAAGTGCTGCAAGATACCTATGCAAAAAGGGAAACCCTTAGGACTAAAGCAAATGCTGTTGATCTGTATGGGGTTCTACCCCACCCCTTTCCCTCTGAAAAGAAATGGCATATGATTGTAACATCTCAACTCGCAATGAATGTTTTGACCTAATTTTTACCATATTGTACAATTTTCGGCGATTGGGATCTGCCCTGGATCAACGGCCAGCTATAATATAATTCGATGTAGCAACGAGAAAATTGAATGACTATATGTAAGAATGTATATGTTAAACTGTGATTGTATTTAAGAATTTGATGGCTTATAAGAATGCTTACGTAGGTCAGAGTCATAGGAAGACATCACGTAGGTCAAGCAATGATTTTTAGGTCAAATAAGGTACCATTATGTCATGAAACAAATTTTACATAATGATTCGACGTGTCATACTATGCAATATGTTGGTTCCAATATATAAAGTCATAGTAGAAATGAAGCCACTTACACACTTATATCAACCCAGCGATGGAACGAAACTTGGCTTTCTAGAGTATTATCATCTTAGAACAAATATTGAATAACAATTTTCTTGTCTTCTTCTACACCCCGACGTAATCCATAATCGGTAAGATCCGCGGACAATGACAACGCTATTAACAGACGTTAAAAACCAACGGCACACTATTTTGAAAACAGCTACATTCACTCGATACTATTTCTGAGAGTATTATTACTCGAAACTCTTCCTGAAAGTACGGTATTTCCTTTCAATCTTTCCTATTGTTTGACTAGCTCAAGAAACCAAAAGATCGCCTATTATCATTGAAATCAGAAATAATAGTCTTTTGAAAATCAAAAATACAACATGCTTACCTGAAAAGCCCAGCAATTCCCAGTTCCGATTTCTTGATTTAACCGTTCATCATACGAAAAAATCTGCATAAAATTCTTTTGCGATTGACAAAAAAGCAAAATTAAAATCGCGCTACTACATCGGCTAGAAGGCGCTGTAGATGATTTGCTGAAAATATACTTTGAATAATAGATGAGAAGGGTACCTGTAAAAGGGCCTTGATCCAACCCGATCTTTTTATCCCTACGAATAGCGCACCATGAAAAGTCACTAACAAGAAACACTAAAGGCCCAAAGATTACGGCCCTTTCCCAGACGACAGAATAATTTTATCAGGGCAAAACAACTGATCTCAAAAGGAAAAATCGTGTCTTTGATATCATGATTAGACTCTGAAGTTAAGAATAAACTATCTGTTTTACTTCCTCTAAGTTGAGAAGGAATATAGTCGTGGAAAGGCGCAAAAAGAACAATGGACAAGATTGCTGACAGGTACCGCTACTTTGAAAACCTCGGCGAAGCAGACAGCCTCGTTGACAAATAGACCTGCGCATTGTCTGTGGAAAAGGCGGCAATTTCAAAAAACAAAATGATTGCTTGTGGTCAGAGATATTTTCTAACACCTCCCTATAAATCAAACAAGTGCTCAAAAGTCTAATGATAAGAAGATCAACGAAGCAATTTACTAAATTCTTAAATTCTTGAATGGCTTTTATCGAGTACTTTATGATTTCATGGGAAAACTAAAATTCACGGAAATTTACAGTTACCTTTTTCATCTATATCATACTTTTCAAACTTTTCAAAAGTAAAAATGCCCACAATACAATTTTTTTTAAACAAACAATCTCTTAAATTTTTCTCTTTTGATGTACAGAATTCTTTCAACTCTCCCTAAAAAATTAGATTAAAATAGTTTGAAATCAAAACTCTCCTCCCTTCAAAAACCATTTTTTCTGTCAGGCGGTACATGACATGCTGGATCAGGAACCTTTCCCTTGATTTAAGCAGATATCTGTTGTTAATAAAAATGTGCCAGTAAGACCTAGAGAAGAGAAAAATGCAATTGTGGAACTTTTTTCAAAAAAAACAGTTTCTGTGAAGCGCAATTTTCAATCAACATTAAAGCATCAAAAATTAAGAAAGGGTGAAAATTACAACAAATTAAAGGCACAAATCCATGGTTACCCAGATTTTACAAAAACCGAAGAGAATCTATGAATTCCTTCAAGTCTTTGAATTCATGCAATACTTCCTTTCTGTACCAGCTCATAAGAAAATGAAGTGAAACAAATAATTTGCAATGTTGAGTTACTTTAAATAAAGCAGATTAGTTTATGTTCGTAGCGCTGGGAGACAGTTCCCTAAAAGAATTACTTTAAAGTAAAAAAATGGAAACAGCGTCCTTTTTTACTCGAACAGGACAGAAAAAATTGATTTGAAAATTGATCAAAATTGCAAAAAAACAGTTTCAGAAGAGAACACAAAGCTTGTTATACGAACAATCATAAATATACCATAAACGAACAATCTAACTTGAATCTGTACTTTTAGGCACCGAAGGTGGAAAAGTTAAGGAAAATGAGCCGTCTTTAGGATAATCTACAAAACGCTAAGATTTAGATCTTGGAGTTGTTCTTATTTGTTTCAGTTGGTTCTGCAAGCTGTCTAGTCTAAGTGAAATTAAGATATATTCATTGCACCCTTTCAAAGATAGCGGCAAAAAGACTTTGTGGATGTTTAAAATGATACACAAATATTAGGATGGAAAGCTTTGAAATAGTGTAAAACATCAAATTACGGAAAATAGTGTAAAAAGAGGTCCAAGTACCAATTGGCCTAACAATGAGGAACTTACATAAAGAGACGTCATTACAATGAAAGGAGGCAAAGTTGTTTGTTTTGTTGAATTCGTAAAGACGCTGAGAAGGTCATTAATTTGGACGCTGCATAAAAGTATATGCAAAGATTTAACTATCTTAACATCAATATGATTTAATATTTAAATTATCATTTAAGAAAAAATTCAGAAATTAATAAATAGTTTAAGAGTTGACAGATGGCTGCAAATGTAATTCATGTATAAGGTGGATGGATTTTCACAATAAAATTAAAAGCATTGAAGATAATGCTAAAGGAAGTGGGATTTATTCATTGCATCAAGAAATGCAGTCCATGGAAGTCATGCGACTTCAAACCGCAGAATCCAGGTAGCTGCAGGTTCGGCATTCTTTTGCATCAAAACATTGGTGAAGAATTCGCCACAACGGCATTTCAGAAATGAGTTCGATGCCACGTCTGCTTCTTCAACGGGCAAACCAGTGAGCCGAATGAGCAGACCGTAAGTTATCTGCCACTTCGCTTCGCTTTAGTATCGATGACCAGCAAACAAGTAAACGCAAATCAACTGATCGTGAACACTGGTGATCATCAGTGAAGACAATAATTAGTCACTGAGCGTAGGACTTCCCTATAAATCCTTATTTAAAATCATTAACTCCACCAAAAACAATATTATCAAATCCCTAGATTTCTAAAAGGGTGGGTCATGTCTTTGATAGCTCAGAGGTGGCTGTGGACAATAATAACAACCAAAGGCGCAAAAGAAGGTGAATTTTCAGAGGGGCTAATGATCAAATTTGCAATCCTAACAATGTAGCAGATTTCCCTAATTTTCCGACAATTTTAGTTCTTTTACGGGGGTTGTGGCACCCCCATCTAAAGCTACTTCGACACTTGCCCCTAACAAAAGTCTTGATACACTACACTTTTAGTTGATTGCGTTCAACTGCAACCCTCTCAGCACAACAGTGACAAAGTGACGTCAAAATCTAAAAATACACCAAAATACACCTATAGGTATACAAAATAGGTTGAAACTGTTCAAATTATGGCCAGTGAAATGTGGCTGAGACATGGCCAGTGAAGGACACGTTTTGCTAATGGATTACTGTTGTTTTTGCCTGGTTCATAAGTTTGAGAGCTCATGCTTGAGTGGCAATATCTCAGCTCATTTGCAACAGATTCAGCTGATCTTGCAAATTTAGAGGTATTAAGTACTGCTCTTTAAGATTAAGGAGTCAATATTCAAAAGTTCTAAAAATATACCTTTTGATGACGTCACTTTGCCAGTCTTTAAATTGGTATTTGATAATAAAAGCTTCCGTGATTTTCATTGGATTTCTATAAGATTAAAATTGCATTTACCTCGACAGCCAAAGATATAGGACAGGGATAGTATGTATATCTCTGAAGGGTATTTTGACAGATTTGCTTCGAAAGGTCTATTCTCACTCATTTCACGGGACATAATTTATATCAAACATCTTGCTGATATTACCACGTTGGTAAAATTTGTGAGGAAATTGTCGGCTAATTGCAATGGAAAATATTTTTAATTTTTTTCTCTTTACTCTTTCGTTAACATTAACATTAACTCTTTCGAGAAAATGGTTTTAATTACAAAGGACAAATATTCTCCCAACCATACATCATAAAATAAAATGCGTCATTAATTACGTAATTAAGAAAAGGCAAATTATGAAAAGGAGGATAGTTCCCTTTACAACCCTTGAAATAAGCGCCGAATGAACGCCCCCCCCCCAAGATTTAATCAATGTCCCAAGCATGTAGATACGCAAAATTGAATTCATGTTAAGACAAATTTGAAATAAAGGACTTTCGCAAACCTTGTTTTTTGAAGAACCAATGTGAAGGCATTGCCAGATGTTTTATACCAAATTCTTGCGTTGTAACCTTTTTGTCTTCTGTCCTGCTAATAGCAATCTTGTTCTCTTCTGTACATTTTCGTGAAGTTCAATTCCATGGCGTTTAGGTGACATAAACAAAATGAATTTAAAAAAATTAGAAAATTCTCTAGAAGGTATTTTATTTAACGCAATTAGGACAAGTTCCCTTAAAGCAAAATAAACATTTCCGAAGTTTATTTCCTGTAAAGACGCAATAGCAAGTGAAAATACGCCGATTCGTTTCCCTCTCGAAACTTGTCCACTTTTCTTTTCCTTAAATAATGAAAAATTATTCAGAAACATGCAGAGCCTGCGATTAAAAGGTGATATAAGTTAAGTAAGACCAGGGCCGCTGAAAGGTATCGAAGGCCCTGAGGTAAAGGCGAAAGACAAGAGCCCCGCGAGCTTAGCAAGCAAAAATTGTGCAACCATACCCTTATGATTAGCTTATCTCAGCTTATGGTTAGCTTCTAATACAGCTACGAATATTTCTTGCTGAAATATAATTCTTGCAATCGTTAAAAACATCTTACTTTCCTTTAGGCATACATTTGTTGCTTTTTATTAACTATGTTCATAAAATGGAAATCATTCTATTATGAGGCTCCCTAAAACTCGATAATCTTGGACATATTGCCCCCCCCCCCCTTCAGCTGCCCTGAGAAGGAAAGAGGAAATATACTGAAATCGAAGGCATTTCCAGTGTTGCTCTTGCTATGACACTTGGATTTGGTCCAGACAATCTTGGAACTTCTGAGCTTCAGTAGATTCAATTGCAGTTTGCAAAAAGTTACATCAAATGAAAATGTAAAATAAACTGATTTCACAAAATTCAGCCATGATAAATTTTACTTGACAAATTTATTTCTTGTCAGTTCACAGTGAACAATGGATGTGCTCGAAAGAATAGTGATGATGGAGTACCTTTTGAGCTTGTGCTTCATGACATGTTAAAAGCTTTCTTGTAAAACGACTAAAAATTTATTGCAGAAGGCTAAATGTAAACTCACAGAAGCCAAGTATAATATGAGAAGTATAGCCTTGTTAACAAAAAATTGGCCTGAAATTTTAAAAATTCCATTTTATACATATTTAGGCAGTTTTAATAAAAGTAGTCATCTCTTCAATGAAAATGAGCAAATGAATAGAATAACTTACCTTGACTACAAGATTAGAACTGCGCTTGCTAGCAAATAGGCTTCCAGTTGAGGAATTTCAGCGTTTTGAAGCCCTGATACTCTCAGCTTGAATTTGAAACAAGTGTCTTCTGGAATGAAAAAGGCACATTAAGGAATTTCTTTAATGAGATGCACATAAAAAGGTGACAACATACAATGCTGGAAGTCACACAAGGGGCACAAAAGTTTTGTTGCAGGGCTTTTATGTAAAGTAGGAACATCCAACTTTGCAAACAGGTTCAGCTTCACTTAAAATTTCCATAATGCTCTCAAAGTCAACAGGATTGAAAATTCAATTAAAATGAGCAAGTTTTATCATAAACAGTTACACTAGCAAATTTTCATACATCGAAATAAAACAAAAACATGAATATTAATCTCTTTCCCTCCTTAGAACCTTTTCTGAAAGATGTCTCATTCCTTTTTTTTGAAAATCTAAGTTTGTAGTTAGGCTCTATTCGCAATGCATCTAGAAACCTGACAATGCTAATCTCTTTTTGTTCTATCTCCAAAGGCGGCAAGGGTTTGTCAGGAAGTAGTTTAATTGGTAGAGTGCGAACAGCAAAATCTGAAATCTGACCAATTGTAATTGGTCAAAGGTTCCGTCATAGAGCTCTGGAGCATCACAATCTTGTAAAAATCTATGATAATCAGCGGGTGACTTGACGGACATTAGTGAAATTAAAATGATTTGAACTAATGAAAAAATAATTCGAAAAGTCTCTAATCTGGTTGATGTCCCCTAAAAACTGAGTCCAGCTTATCCTCCCTTATATATTGATACACACAGTCCATAAACACATTATGTTTATACCAGTAGGGGTTGCAACAGTACTAGCCATACAAGTCTCGTAAAATTTTATTTTGAAAGTTTGAAATACTTTTTATTGTACGATTTTGCTTTTTCCTATGATAATTGAATTAATAGTAGAAAAGGGAAGAGCAGGGGAATACACCATATCTTAATTCTGGCCCTCTTTATCTATTAATTCTCATTGAAAGATTGGCATTGAATAAGCCCTTTAAGTACACCACAGTACTAGACTTCATCCGTACAGTAGTGCAGAAGTTTGTCCCATTGTTTTTAACTCACTTTCAGAGATCTAAATTATTTCTATTTTGGTTGATATTTATATTGGGATTGGTTATTTTCCTGTCACAGATGAAAAACTTGAACTCTGAGTCAGCAGTTCCTCTGTTTGTTAGATTGGGCATGATTTAATGTATATGTAGAAAATAAGAAACAAGGCAACAACCTGAAAACAAACACCAATAACCACGGGTTGATTAATAGCAGCTAATATTTCACCCTGGCATAAAGAGCTTCATCAGAGCAAAATGTTTAATGTAATTGTTACTTTTCATGAATATAAGTCAACCAAATCATAACAATGTTTGTTTGATTATTTTTACAGACTTGAACTGACTTATTTGATCCATTCCTAGAGATTTTTGGTTTTTTCCTTTATTAAAAGAGAAATCATGGTCTACCAAGTTTTGCAAATCATAGTCATAATTTAGAAACATTTATGATGTTCTTTCAACTGCGTATAATAATATTGTACGGATAATAATATTGGACCCAGCCCAAACCACAAATTTGGGTGTCATCTCTGTGAGCCTTACCATCCCTTTAGACACATCAAATAACTCTACAAACCAAATAGAAAAAAAAAATATATGAAAAAAAAATTAAAAAAAAAATTTGAACAAAAAATAATATGAAAAAAAATTTTCCTTGTGTCGATTTATACAAAGGAGGCCTAACTATCCATGCCTAGCTATGCAAATATTGATATTTCTGGAGAATGAAAATACCTATTTAGTAGGATGACACGACTTTTGCTAAAAAGATAAGTAGTGTATGAAATCAGGCTCATGAAATCTTACCAAAGTAGCTTAAAAGCGAACACACAGCAATGTTGCATCACTTCTCAGTTCTGCTGGGGAGAGAGTTTCCCGCGCCAAAGATAAAACCACATTGGATGAAACGTAGACATGAAAACGAGGCAACCTTCCAAAAAATTGCGGGAATCTTTTGATTTTGACAATCAATTTAAAAGATGCGATATCTAGAATGCCAGAGACCTTTCAACAACAACAAAAAATATGGGGTTATTCCCGTAAGGCCCAAAGATTTCCTCACAAGTTGGTCAAATATTTCTCGATAGTAGATACCCTCTAGAATTACTGTCAGTCATTCATTGTAGGTTTTCCAGCTATAATATTTGGCGCCACAACCTCAACATCATTCTTCAGCAGAAAAGGGGATGGCTATCAATTTATGACACAGTCCTTTGAATAGATGTAGTTTTTGTTCTTTTTATCTTATTGTTTGTATGGATTGATCCAGTCATCTTGAAAATGAAAAATTTAACAATTTTAAGGTAAATAGCTTTGAAAAAAGCAATCATTTGAGGAAACTAAAGCTTTTCTTCTGACACTCTTCAGAGTTTAAAACGTCAGAACATAGATCGCAAACTCTACGCTAGGAAATATATATACGCAGTTGTGGATCCAATCAGAAACGCGAGCACATGACTGTTGAGGTTGCCCAATCAGTGCCGCTTGCCTATAGAGAATGTTGCCAATGGAGTCCTAATGTAAAAACGATTATGAGCATGCGTAGTTAAAATCAAGTGGTCTCGATTTTGCGTCCGTTGTGAGCGCTAGAAAGTTGATAGGGTCTCAACTTTTTTGCGCGCTCGGCCACTTGACAGCAATGCTCATGCTCAGATTTGGGTGCTACGCCCGCGCGCACAAAATATGTCAAATGGAAATCGCCCTTAACTCGTTAGAATACTCGTGCGTCCCTGCCCCTTGACGTTGATTGGCTCGAACAAATCATTAAGGCTATTGTCTCAAACAAGAGGAGTGAGATCTCATCTCCCCAATAAATACAGTAAGTGTTCACACTGCTCTAACAAAAACACTGTTGGTGGCCTCATTTTTGAAAAGTGGCGCTCACGAATCCTCAAAAAATTTGCATCATTATGAATGAAATTAAATAGAAGCAAATCGTGAAAAACTTTATTGTAACCGCTACCAGTCATTGTGAATTCTCAATTTCAAAATTCTTTAAATTAGGTGTGCTAGAACGCATGTATAATCTTGGAACTGTAGGTTTTCAAAGGCAAATTCAGCATAAGAACAATGTTGATTTACTGCAGAAAAAAGAAAGGGGTTATGGAGTATGCTTTTCCTTGTGGCTTGTTTAATATTTTTCTTTACTTTCAACATTGTTTTGGGGGGGGAAGGGGGACGAAAGTAGTAGTATTGGGGAAAACAAATGAAAAATAGAAAAGCACAACGCAAAGTTTTGGGTGTTCCAAGTAATTTTGGCAGTGATTGTTTTTTGTTGACGTTGTAAGCGTATTCAAATGTCTTCGTTTTTTGTGTTCACACTAAAAACGGAGCGTATTCAATACGCACCGTATTCGAAAGTATCCGCTTTCATTAGCGTTTTCAAACGACTTTTTTTCATAGCAGAGTAGTGTGAACGCAAGGCAAAACGGATTAATTTGACTCCGTTTTCGTTTGGAAAATCAAAGCATATCTATTGTTGAAAAAGTGACATATTCGCTGGAAGCAGAAAAAAAGGGCTGACCAATAGGATGGCGAGTGACAAAATCATCCACCAATGAAATTCCATTTTTCAATGTTGTTTTGAGCACCGCTGGGTGAGGAAAATAGATTTCTCACGAAAAAAGGAAGCCAATTCTCTGTTTTTTCACTAATGCCAGATCCAGCACCAGCCAGTCACTTGCATTTTTAACAGTGTTCCATGTGATCAGAGCAGTGGCTAGTCATCAGGGAACTTGATGGTTAGGGAACTGCCGTTGGAGTTTCGCGGTATTCTCATTGGTATAACAAGATGGCGAACGGAAACGTTGTTTTAAAATGTTATGGCAAAAAAATGTCTGGTCAAAGAAATGCCTTTAAAATGAATGAATTCCGTTTTAAGAATAGAATAAATCAAGGTATACCTCTAAAAAGTACATCGTTTTAAACGGTTGCAAGGTAATGACTACAGGGTTCATATTTTGCATACCAGCTCGATCGGCTTTTGCAGTGGCAACCTCATTATCACTTATCTATAAAAGTATAAACTGGCACCACCAAACATATAGAATGTAAAAGAGTGGATCTTCGGGTAGCTTTTGAGTCGCATAACAACATTGGTACCCAAGAAAAGAAAAGAGATGTCGAAACGAAGGAATTCCCTTCAGTCCATGTTCACATGACCCTCATGATGTCAGAGAGAGCTCGTTCCCTCAGTAAACACACATGTTGTGACAGTAGGACAACTCGAAAGAAATAACTCATGTACTCCAAACTCTTCCTTTTGCGTAGGTAAATAGAGTAAGTAAACTGGTATTAAACAGGTTTTCGAAATATTGTCCATTAATGTCCTTTATCATATTTCGAAAACTATCACCTCCAGCCTATCGCGAATACCCAAAAAAATTAAGCAAAAACAACACGAAGCAAACAACATGTTTTGCAGTCCTCCAGGGTGCGCCTCCACGCTCCGATTTGAATAAACAGCAACAAAAGTTATATTGCCCAAACAACATAAGGGGGCTCGAACTGCACACAATTCCAATGAATCGCTATTCAATTCACGCTCAACGCAAAAAGTCTTTATGCAAGGAGAGACCATAACAATGTCTGTTCGAAACTTGAGTCAAATTTTCTGTTTTATTTGTTTTATGACCAATTGATTTATGGCCTTTTATGATGATATTTTGCAAATTTTGTTGTTTCGGCTTCCATGTAAGCATTGGGTATTAATACAAATGTATTATTATTGCATCCATTAAAAAACGTGCATGGATATAATAAACCACACCCTCTATTGCAAAATTAAGCCTGGAGCCCCCCTTTTAAGATTGTCTAACAGATCACCCCTGTCCTTCCCTTTCTCTTAACTCTTTAAGATAATTAATTTATTTCAGATCTTTCTCATGACAAAAATGAAGCAATGATCATACATGAATGTTTTCTCTTTTTTGAGGAATACGAGCGTAATATTTGATGTGAAATACGTCAAAACTACGTAATGGAAGTCGGAATCCCATTATAGTTTACTAAAATCTCTATACATTTTTCGGCAATACTCTGACATTGATTTGTCTAAAAGAAAACTATTGGAAATGGGATAAAAAGTTTGACCCTAACAAGAAGCCACATCCTCTCAATTTTCAATAAAATTTCCAACAAAAAGGTTTGTGTCGCCTCGAGAGTTCTTTGAAGAGCTTTTTTAATCAAATAAAAACATAGCGGCATAAAATAAGCACGGTTGTAGGATTATTTCAAATAAAAGGAGGTAGAATTAATTTCATCGGCTAAAAATGAATAAAAGAAGCTAAAAATTTAATTGATTGTAAGATTTCGTTTCATCATCATTTTACTAATTGAATTTATTTAATTTTACTCGAAAACAGAATTATAAAAGAATGTTTCTGAGAGCAAAATGTTGTCATGTTGTAATGAGAGAGAAGTAAAATGAGAAAAAACTTAGATAGGCACATTTGAGGCTTTATTCGACAAAATTAGTCTCAACTCAAAGTAACGAGAACAGGGTAACATAAACGAAAAGAACAAATTAATGGCACGCATACTATTGTAATAAGACAAAGAATGGTTGAGGTCATTGTCTTTCATAATACATGCAGATCACGTCACGGCAAAAATGAGGTCATTTTGGATAAGAAAAAGCTTAAAAATTGCGTACTTTTTTATCTTAATTGTCGTTATAATAGTTTTCAGGGAAAAACGATACATGGGATGCAAGGACAAGTGGCAGGTGGCATCTAATGCACCTCATTTTGCCTGCAAAATACCGAAATTGGATCCCTTTGCAAAAGAAATACATGGATACATGTCTACCAAGAACGTGTTCCAATTAGTTTGTCCGAAAAAGTACTTCTCGCGAGTTAGAAATGGACATTTGTATCTAAAACTAAATGGTGTTTCGAATGCATACTACGAGTATATCAGGCGGCCTGTTAACAATGACAACAGAGTTCAGTATGGTGAGAAAACGATGATTCCTATCGCTTCTGGGGACCTTGTTGGCTTTCAATTGAAACTTAGCGAGGATTTCGTAAGGGTAACGTTTACAAAGGACAATAAAAAATATGTGGAATTTCATGCAGGGATAGTGGAGAAGAACGACGTTTTCAAAAGAGCAAAGTTGCCAAAGATCGAAGCAAAGTTGCCATACAACATAGCTTTGCTTATGGTAGATTCTCAATCTGCTTCTCATTGGAAGAGAAGGATGCCTAAGATTTACAGCTATCTGAAAAACGATACAAATACTTTTATATTCGATGGTCACACAATTGTAGGAGATGGAACAACAGCACAGCTAAGTGCGATACTTGCTGGAGGATTCGAATGTGATTTTGGAGAAAGTCGTCGTGGTTACAGGGGTGCCGAACCGGTTGATAAATGGCCGTTCATATTCAAAGATTTTATCCAACGAGGCTACGCTACAATGTTCAACGAAGACGATCCCTGGTTTGGAGCATTTAGTTATCGCCTGCTAGGATTTGAAAAACCACCCACTGACCATTATAGCAGAGTATTTTGGCTGAATGCAAAAGTAGATCACACCTTAGAGGGTATATGTCATGGAAACAACCCAATATTTGTAACTAGCTTAAACTATTTGCGAGATTTTCACGAGAAGTACAACGCACTGCCCAAGTTCTCAATGACTATTTTATCATCGATGTTTCATAATAACTTGGAAACACTTTATAGTCTCGAAGGCCCTCTTCTGTTATTTCTTGAAGAAATGAAAGCAGCTGGGCATCTAGCAGACACTGTGCTTGTTCTTTTAAGTGACCATGGAGCCAGATATGGAAATTTTCGCGAAACATTGACAGGAAAATTAGAAGAGAGGTTACCATTTCTTTCTATAACAATGCCATCAAAACTACTTGAAAAGCAACCGCAATTCAAGACAGCAATGAGACATAATACGAAAGTGCTTACATCACACTTTGACCTGCATGCAACTCTTAAACATTTCTTTACTTATCCATACCATCCCAATGTAACTATTGGCCAAAGTCTGTTCACAGTCATAGACGAAACAACACGTGTTTGTGAATCGGCAGGCGTGAAGGAACATTGGTGTCCTTGCCTCGAATCTACTGAACTGAACACGACAGACCCCGAAGTTATCGCTGTTGCAAGAAGTTTTATACAATTCGTTAATAGGGAATTCTTGTGGAAGAATCCTGAAGCATTTCAAAAATGTGAAAGGCTTGCATTGAAAGACATACACCGGGCTGCAATGAGTATGCCAAGAAAGGCGGTTCAAGAATTTAGAGAAACAGCCAAAACGGCAAAATCTGATGAGGGGAAAGTTGTATTTGGGAAAGGAGTGAATTTGTTAAAAAGCTACCAATTGGTATTATCCGCTTTTCCAAGTAATGCAACCTTTGAAGTTTCCCTAAAAACGAAAGAGAATAAAATTTTTGACGAACCAATAGTAAGTCGTTTGAACAAATACGGAGACCAACCAAAATGTTTAAAAGACAAATACCCAATGCTGAGGAAGTATTGTTACTGCAAACATCGCAGCCTAGCCTAGTTATGCATGGTTGCATCTCAGAAAGTGACGTTTTAGCTTAGTAAACTTAGAATTTTACCGGAATGTATCGTTGCAAATGCATTGGTCTACCAACCGGTCTTTGCAACTTGCAGATAATTATATTTGAATTTCAATTAATGGCTGTAGACTATCTGGGTAGACTGTTTCTTTTCGGTGATTTTAAAGAATCAAACGATGCTCTTTTTTATCTCTATTGTTAAGTTGAAATGGATTACGTACAGATTATTTTCTAGAGGAGCTGTTTGAAGCGAGCCTATAAGTTCCCTTTGCTTTAAAGCCATGGTCAAATATTTGCGTACTTTCCTAAACACAGTTTATACTTACGTTTTCTCTACTAGAATTACTCCCTTTTCAGTTGTTAACTGATATGGAAAATGACTCGATCGAGCTTTATTGTCGCATGTACGAAGAACGCTCTTTCGAATGTTGATGGGCAGCCTAGAAAGCTTTTAATGAAACTACAGCAAATAAATTTAAGTAAATTTACTCGCAAAGCAGTATCTTAGCATCTTACAAAATAACCTCATTTGTAGAACATCAAAGTTGAATGCAAGATGCAAGTTTATGATTTACGTTTAATGCAGTTAATGCATGCTTAAGACATTTGAGGCATATTTGTTATTTACCTGACTTTACTGCTGATTGTGGTAGTTTGATTTCTTCTTTCTTACAGGGCTTCTTTCATATTTATCTTTTTATGAAAATTTTCCTAAGGCACTCAGTGTGACTCTGTAAAATCAAAGCCATTGTTAAAGATAACTGTTATCCTAAATCCTTGGCAGTTAGAACAACCAGGACCATTGTTGATAAACAATTTTAACCTACAAAGAAAGCACCCAACCTTGGCAGTAATAAACCTTTTCTGTTTTCTCTACCTTTCTTACAGTGGCGAAGCCAAAAGACCTGCTGGTCCTGCTGAGTAGGACCAAGAATTTCCAAAGATAAGATAGGAAAACTTCTTCGCTGCAAAAAGGAAGTTTCAAATTCTATTTGATAGACAGTCCCCAGTTTTGCCAGCTGATACAGGCATCCCGTGCTTATTTGAGGTCCTATTCTTTACTACGGCAACCCTGTTTTTGGTCCTGCCCATAACTAGTACACAAAAGACTGCTAAGTACTTCACGTAAGGACTAACAAGCAGCCCTGAGACGCAATAAACCTGACCCAACACGTTCTAATACTTTACATGAGGTTTACAAATTAGAGAAAAGAAGACACAAAGCTCTTTTTAAAAGAAAACGCGCTTCCTACCTTACAAATGCGAAAGAAGATCTTTGGCTGCTTAAAAATGAATGTCCAAAGCAGTTTTGGAAAAATCTTTCAATGTCATCTTCCAGTAAGTCGTCAATAGATTTTTCAAATGAGCAATGTCTATTTAGTTATCTTCTTAGTAAAAATACTCCAGACACTTTGCAGCTGCTGATGATTCTGATTACGACTTATTCAATCTTATAGATTCTAAACTAAATAAACAAATTGATTTATTGGAAGTGAAGAATATGGCTGAAAAACTCAAATCTGGCAAAGCACCCGGTCTTCATTTGTGGAATGCTGAACTTTTTAAACATTTTAATGACCGTTATTTTCTTTCTTTGTTAAACTTTTTAATAAAATTCGAGATTCTGGCGACTTGCCAGAAGAATGGTCGATAGGTGTCATTGTTTGGCTTTTTAAAGGAGATGACAAAAAATATCTTGACAACTATAGAGGGATTACCTTGCTTAGAAAATCATATCGAACTTCCGATCACATTTTTACGCTTCATGCCGTAATTGAGAAAAAACTTTCTAGTAAGAAAACTCTTTATTCGGTTGACTATAAAAATCTCATTGACACATTGTTGTCTTATGGTATTAATGGCAAAGGTTTAGATATCATTGAGTCCCTGTAGGCAAAAGTTGAGTCTTGTGCAAGGGGTCAAGACAGCCTAACTAATCTGTTTTCCTGCCATCGTGGTGTTAGGCAAGGTTGTTTGTTAAGTCCGTTGCTGTTCACTTTGTTTTTTTAATGACTTAGACTCAAAGATTAATAATGTGTCTACCAGCGTCAGATTAGGTGATAGAAATATCTGCACCCTTTTATATGCTGATGATTTAGTTTTATTAGCTAATTCTGCTGATGATATGCAATCCCAGTTAAACGAGCTAAATCAGTTCTTCATGTCCATTAATATGGAGATCAATACTGTCAAAAAAAACAAGAAAAAGTCTACGGCGTACAAAATTTAAAGATCAAAGAATGCAATTTGTACAAATACTTTGGAGTTACTTTTGAATCTAATGGCTCCTACATTGCTCATGTTGATATAATTGAGCAAAAAGTTCAAAAATCTCACTTTGCTCTCTTGTCCAAAAGCAATGAATGGGATGGTTTCAACCCAAGACTGTTTCTATTTTTATTTGACAGTACAATACTTCCTATCAAAAATTATGCCACTTACGAATGGGGATCTGGTACCTGGGAATGCCTGGAAAAACTTAATCTTATGGCTTGCAAGTCATCCCTAGGTGTTAGAGGATCTACAACGTCTCTTGGGGTTTATGCGGAGTTAGGACGTTGTTTGTTGCTTGAACATTTTAGAAATTATATGGTGTACCAACACCAGAACTATCTGCTGGTTCAAAGATTTAATGTTAAAGTGCCAAGAGAACACTAAAGGAAACACAACAGTTATATCCAATCCTTCTTCATTGTACACCTAGGTACTGATTACTTATCTCCCTATCGCCGTTTCTGTCGCTTGTTACCTTACAATCGGACGTTTTATATACTTTTAATCTAGACAGACTAAATATGTCTACCAACCAGTATTTAGAAAAACAGGATACGAATTTTGCGTCAAAGATTTTTTATGAATAACTTTAAATGCATATGTGGATTAATACATGTCGTTGTTAAGCTCTTTGTTTAGACCGATGAATAGCTTGATTCAGCCCATGATTAGCATGAGTCAGCCCAAAACGCCACGCAAGCAAGAAAAAACAAATCTCTATGCGAAAACCATGTGCTGCAGTGCTATATTAAATGCGCTGACATGAATGGAAAATCCCAACAAACATAGACATATTAAAATTTTAAAATTTTAGCTATATTCGTTTGATAAATCTTGATTCATCAAGATATGCATACAGAGCTCCTCAAATGTTAATTGATGATGCAGATTCCGGTGTTTCTAATTGGGTCAGTACTGCCCGTTCCCTGATGACCCTTTAAGCTTGGTTCCCACTAGGCGACTTAGTGCGTTCAAGTGCGTTTATCTCTAATCCTTTAATTGAATTAAAGATAACAGATCAACTACCGAGGCATTCCCACTTGCAAACATAAACACTCAGCTAGCTGTGTGAAGTGAAGACAAGTCAAAATGTCTAAATGTCGCATTTTAGAGAATCTAGAACATGCATTTAAACACTAAAATAATTATCATTTTTGCTCTTTTGTCATTTATTAATCATGCAATTGTAAGATGTTGTAACCCTCTCTTGATAACCGATCAATTATCGCAACAGGATCGTAACTTAAGTTCACTTGCATTTTCGTGACACAAATTTCGCAATTCTTTTACGTGTACATTGTAGGTGATCTATGCTTTCAGTTTATGGCCTCTCGTTAGTCATTTCAAGTAATCCTGATTGTATAGCTCTTTTCAAAATTTACAAGTTAGCAGAAATCTCTTAATTGGCAATGTTTTATTGATCGCAAGGTGCTAGCAGTCACGAAATCGATTTCATGCGTTGCTACGATTGAAATTGCCTTATTTTGGCTTTACATTTGCATCTTACTTGTTGGTTGATGAATGAAACATTCCTTGAATTTTTCGGCTTCTTTTATGTTTAAACGCTCAGATCAAAAATTTTTGATCTTGGCGTTTAACTTTTTTGAGCGTTCAAGTGCGTTCATCTCCTCCAAGCTGGACGTTCAAGTGCGTTCAACGCCCGGAGCATTCCCACTTGGCGTTTAACTTGAACGCTCAGAGATGAACGCACTTGAACGCACTCAGTCGCCTAGTGGGAACCAAGCTTTACAGAATACATACAACCGATGACTCTTCTATCGTGAAATCAAGTGTCTTCCCATTTTAGGTCAAAAGTTATGGAAAATTTAAAAGAATAAGTTATTCTTAATAAAAAGCTTTGTTTATACGCATCTTTCAAAGCTGTTTATAAGTTTGAGCATTACTTAGACTTGATACCTAGCAAAAAGAAACGATCCAACTTTGCAAAACTACGTCTCAGTGCTCACAACTTCAGAATTGAAACAGGTAGATACGGGAAGAATCCTATTCCTAGGATTGATAGAAAATGTCCGTATTGTCAATCTTTTAATAGAACTGCTGTGGAGGACGAAATTCATTTTTTATTTGTTTGTCCCTTTACAAGACCGCTAGGAATTCCATGTTATCTAAGATTTATTCAAAATTTCCCAAAATATCATCCCTTGACTTTTATGATAAGTTTATTTAGTTGTTGAGTCAAGAAGATACGAACTGTCTAATATCAATAGCTAATTTTATATCGCTGGCATTTGAATCACGGGAATCTTTTGGGAAGTCCTCTACGTGTATATCCTCGTAACGTAAACTTTCTTGCTTATAATCATTTTTTTCATTTATTTATCTTTGTATTACCTGTTTGCTGTTTTCTGAGATTTATTGTTAATTTGTAATTATGTTAACTTGTAAGTATAGTAATTGTGTTGGGGATGGACCATTTCGGCCTACAAGCTTTATTGTAAAAAAAATGACTATGATACCCTATGTTTGGTCCAGCTTCACAATAGGCTTTTGTAAAATTAGTCCTGTTTCACAATAGTCTAGAACAAAGAGCAGTCCTGCTCAATTCAAGGGAGCAGGACTTCGTCGGAACATGATCATCATAACTTGTCATAAGAAGTAACGATTTGATTGGTCTCAAAGTGAGCAAAATTTGAAACTTGTTACATTTTGCCAACATTGAGTTTTTCACACAAATGTCCATAGCTGTCGTTTCCATGGCAACTATAAATTTAATTACCTAAGTAATTTAATTTGATTACTCAGATTTGGTAATTTTTTCTCTTAAATGCAATGCTTAATTCATATTGTTCAAAGAATTGTTACGACGACACAGGGTCACGTGAAAATTGCATCATCGTGCTTTGATTGCACCAACGTCTGTAAATAGGTTTTTTTGCATCACGAAATTATAATTTCAAGGTTCTGCTAAGGGTATATAAAGGGTCTTTTTATAAGCTAGGTTTAGTTTTGAAACTTTTGCCGTACTGTTATTGGAAGCTCTGCAGAGGCGGACTGGCAGCAAACCTCTCGGGTTGCTATATACAGAAAAGGGGCCCGTACTACGTATAATGCAAGCAACAGGGGCGTTGTGACTCCTAGGAAAGGGCCGGGAGAAAATTATCATAAGGGGGCCCACGCTTGTATATGATATCTCCAATCACAAACCCAAGTCGCCAAAAATGATGTGTACCTGGAAACCATGCACCTATGAAATCTTGAAAAGATGCCAGTTTTTATCATTTTTAAAGGTTCACCTGCTATATTTGCTGGGGTGTAGCCCCTTTTCTCTAACTATAGTCTCTTTAAGACTGCAAAAATGTCAAACAAATCC